TCACAATTAACATCCTATAATACCAATTCTCCAAACTGTGTCGATAAAAATCGGTAGTAAGAAGTTGTGTTCTAATTTGTAAACCAAAAGAAAAAAAAAATACGAAACTAGTGGCGTTTAACGAGTAATACCAAACCATTATTCCGGAAGAGGCAGAGAGCTTAGTGAATTCCCATAGTCTCGTGAAAGATTCAATGGAGAAACCGGTCCAAGTGAGCGGACAGCCGCCGCAAGTGGTGTATGTAAATAAGATAAAGAAATTGAGCCACCATGACACATTAGCAGTAGCGATGGTCCCTATGACTCCAAGTTCAAGAACGTAGACAAAAAGCCAGCACACAAATATGTGAACTACAAGAGCCACTCCAGACGAAATTGCAACCACCTATGGTAATGTAAAAGAACATCGAAAACAAAACAAAAAAATGTAAGAGAGTATTAACCTAACACATAACAATATTCATATTAATATCAAGAAAAAAGAAATCAACTAGTTTATAGACATAAAACTGCTTTTCCTCTAGTTATCACTTACTGTTTTTTTTTTCTTTTTATGTTCATCTTGTTACTCTTGTTGTACACCATTCAAATCCTTTTATATGCCCCAAAATAACCCTCAAACACCTTGTTATTAAAGCTTTGTCCTTTTGAATAGTGGTGATTTGAATCGAGTTTTAACCCGAACCGATAATCACAAGTGTATGGCTTAGTATTCTTGTAGTAATATGAAAAACATGTGGTTGACCATTTCGGCACATGTTATTTATTCATTGGTCCACAGATGCTCATTTTGACCCATTCAAGTTTCCAAGATTTAAAAATGAACGAAAAAAAAAAACATACTACAAAGACATTTCAAAACTTCTAAAAGATAAGTATACGGATCTGAACAACTAAATGCAAGAAATCATCACAAACACATACAAAAAAATGCATAAAATAAAGGAAAATTGCCAAAACTAACTAAGATCAATTAAGTTTCGAGAATAAGTCAATTTAACACCAATGAAAAAATGGCAATTATTTTAGCCATCAATTTCCGACGGAAAGTAGTCAATATTTGCAAACACCATCTACTCCAAAAATAGAGCCGTCTAGTCTACAACAAACTTGGACTAACCCGCACCCTTGTGACCTTTCAAATCTTAAGTTACATACCGAGTTTTTAAGCTGGCATTGGAGGAACCGGTTGATAGGGAAAAAGAAAGCAAATGAGAAATGGGAAGGAATGGCCCAAACAGCGATGATACCGGAGAGCTCAGCGATGTCGTCAGGCTGGCCCATGAACTTAAGAATCGGGGACGCAAAGATGTACATTGGGAGGAGCAAGATAGAGCATAAGAAGAGAACAATCCAAGATCGTTGCAAATACACTCCAAACATTTCATACTTCTTTGCCCCAAACGATTGACCGCACAGCGTTTCCAACGCAGTCGCCATTCCAATCTACACAAAAACATATAATAGTTTCTTCACAAACTAACCAAACATTATAATATTAGCTAGAAGAAAATGTTCTTTGTATATACGAAGAGGCTATAGTTGAAGCCGATGATGACGTTGTTGACGATGGATATGGCAGCGAGTTCTATCTCGCCTAAATGGCCAGCGAAGGCCTGAGTGATGACAAAGATCAAGTTGTTCGTGACTCTAGTGAATATGGCTGGTCCAACAATACGCCATAGCTTCTTGGTCTCTATCCATATCTCTCTCTTTATTTCTCCGACTTCCTCCACATTTTGATCCTTTAACAAAGGAATCTTCGCCTTCTCTACACCTTCTGCTCCGTCGTCTCTCTCTCCCATCGCCGATCTTGATTTGTAAATTAGAAATAAAATAAATTGAGTTGATAGATCAGCAAAAGATTGATAATATAGTGGCGGATCCACAACATAATTGTGGACACGTTATTAACAATACACAGAAAACATTAAAAAAATGCCTTATTAGCCTATTAAAAAAACAAATGTGTCAAGTCCACATAAATACCAACAAGTAAAAACGTTAGTTTTGACTTTTCCGATATATATGTATTTTTTATATACCCGATCGGTTGATCTGGTGAGTTCCGGTAGAAATGCACTGAAGTGTAATAGAGTGGATTTTTCCCCGAATGACCACTAGACCATTTGTGCCCGGAGATATCCAATTAGTCTAATCCTGAATATCATGTGAATTGATCGGACCAAAGTTCAAACCTAATCTTCTAATACAAATGTGATTTTTGTATATATCCAAGGTTAGTTTTATGATATGAGGTATAGTTGGGCTAAACAAATTTTAAACGATTGTTTAGTTTATTTTGCTAAAACATAATTGTTCAAAATGACAAATGAGATAGTAGTGAAAACTGAAAAGGTTTCAATATATATAAAAAATTTGTAAAAGAATAATAATATATTGATGTAAAATAGGTTCTGATTTTAAATCTTGTCCGTAAAATGATTTTGCACGTTTTTTTAACTAAAAATAAATTATATTATACAATATGTGGAACAGATTCTTGAAGCAATACACACCACAAAAGTATGATGCTCATTATGTGATATTATATATTCTTCTTTTGCTTTTATTAAAATATTATTTATTACTTCCTGAAAATTTTGTTTTTTATGACAATTATTTATTATTTATTATTTTTTCACAAATTATTATTTATTATTTATTATTTCTTATATAGACTTTGCTTTTATGAAAAAAGTCTGAAAATTTTGTGGAAGAATAATAGTGTGAGTTAATATTATAGACTATAATAGAATAATTAATTAATTGTTAAAAATGAATTATAGTACTGAAAAATCTCAAATATGATATTAACTCACACTAACTATACATTAACTACTAAACTACATAGTGTATAATATTAACTATATATTTACATATTTAGTTATTCGATCTATACCATTGTTGCCATTTAGTACCGTAGAATAATACAAATATAGATTATCTAAAAATCTTATATAATAGTAATACTATTATTTACCGTTTGTCTTTTGTCAACAACTCCATTTCCATCGTTTTATTATGTGCCACTTATTACGACCATATTTGTTGATGCCATGAATTAAACTTCTTTTAAAAAACAAAAAAAAAACCTTTATTTCATTTTTCTATCTCGCGCGTAAAATTTTCTTTATTTCACTCTTACAAATTAGTTATTGCAAAAACTAGAGAAGAATATCAAAAGGAGACGTGAAGAATTTCAGAAATCTTATGGCTTGTTGGCTCCATTGAGGGATCCAAATCTTTCCTATCTTGAGAATGAGTAGTATCTAATGTTTCCTTGTTTTTTTATTTCTTTTTTGGCAAGGAAAATTTCTTTTAGGGCTTCAAATTTGTAACACCTAACCTTTCATTATATGATATTTACAATCTTAGCAAAAAAAAAAAAAGGAGACGTGACTAACCATATTTATAACCATTAATTAATGTCATAGTGCAGTGGAGAAGCTTTAAAAGTTTTGGTACCCAATGGGGAAGCTCTAAAGAGAGAAGTATGGATCACATTTAAGTCAAACCAACCAATTAACCTCAGTAAATGAGGGACAAGTTCGTAACCATCAAAGGAGAAGAGGGGACGAGATGTTATTTTGGTGTTCTACCACAACTTTCCAAACATCACTGTTTGAAATCGGTGTTTCTTTTTCGGATCTATATTGAATGTTTTTTCGCTTGTGTTTTCCTTCTCGTGTTTTTATTGTAATCTTAAGTTTTTGTTTTTGGTCTTTCTGTCTTTTTAGTCTTCTCTGTAATCACTGTCGCAAATTTGAAAATCGTATAAATACTTAACATTTTACCAGGAAAAAAAAACTTTGCCTTTAAAGATAACTACTAATTAGATACTTACTTGCTGTGTTTCAAAAATACTACTTCATGTTTAAAATATTTGTACATAAATTAAGAAACTATTATGTACTCCCTACGTTCCTTTATAAGTATAAGATATTATATAGGTTTTGGTTTGTTTCATTTTATTTGATTTTTTCAAGTTTTTCTGCAAAACATATGTTTATTAAATATTCTATGACTATTTAAAGGGAGAGTTACTAGATTAACCCAAATTTTGAGTTTAATTACTAGATTGACTCACAAATAATTTGGGTTAAATGAGTTATTTTCATGCCTAAAATATCCTTGTCTCATGTGTTAAAAAAAAATACAAAAATACCCTTCATAAAAACTTTCAGAACCCTTTAGAATATGGTTACGATAGACTTACAGAACTTTAGCTGTAATACATTGAGTAGCAGCAATATAATAACTTTCAAAAAGAGTAATTTTGTAGGTGCATGGTTCCGGGTCCAACTCATCTTGCAATTGTAATGGAGTATGTTTATGGAGGAGAATTTTTGAACGAATCTGTATTCTGTAATGCTGGTAGAGATTCAGTGAAGCTGAGGTGTGATATATGCTCCTTTCTCAAAATCCTAACTTGGTTCTTATTCAATTTTTCGACAAATTTCCTTGTTGTGAATCTCCATTGCATCTCGTTCACTACAAAAAATATGAGCATTGATAGCACATTATAATAGTTCATTTTTCGCAACTGTTATTGAAAATAGAATGTTAGATGGGGTTATCATATGATAGCGTTTTAGAAATGCTAACCCCGAAAATGAGTAAGCGGGGAACTAAATTTCAGTTGGTGAACCCAAAATCACTATTTGCGGCAACACTTAGTCGAAAATCTTTATACTTAGCAACCCATATTTTTTTTATTTATTGATAACGAACAAAAAAAAATTACGCACTCTCATCTGTAACCCTAAATCCCATTTCTCCATCTCCAAAACAAAAGTTCACGCTCTCTCAAATTTCTCGTCTTCCTCTCCTCCTCATCGTCTTCTCTTTCTCCTCCTTCTTCGGCCGTTAAAGATACTTGCATATTCATCCCCGTCTTCTCCAATTTGGTCTGATTCGAGGTCAAATCTCCTTCATCCTGAGTTGGGTCCATTGGTTTCTCCATCTATAGATCTAGATTTTGTTGTGGTTCTAGGTATGGAGAATTCTAAGACGAATTCAACAAAAGAGAGAACTCCTCAACTTCTATTTCAGATCTATGGCTACCTCCCTGTACGGAGCTTATGGGATTAGATTTGGCTCACGAGATGATGTTTCGAGTGTTAAAAATGGAGGAATCGTGGCGGAGGAGGAGGAGCTTGAGCTATTGCAAGCTGAATCATGTACCGAAATTAATAGATGAGAAGGAGAGTGGTAACGCCGACGATGTCGAGATTCTTGAGCCGTGTTTGAAATTCTTCAAACCAGAAGGAGATGAATATGAAGTTTCAAAGGAGGCGGATAGAGTTAGTGCAGAGTATTACGATCCTAAACCAAGTGAATTTGTGGTTTCTATAATTTTGAGGTTTTCAATTGGGTTTTCTCATTGTTGTTATAGGGTATCGATCTTATAGCATGAGGTAAGTGAAAAGAAGACCAAAAGGACTGATCCTAAGTCCGATGATGTCTACTTCAATCTTCTCGTCAAGGAAACAAAACAAGGAGAGGTCTTTTATGCTTCTGTTTCTCTGTTTGTTCCATTGGTTTATTGAGATTTGATCCTTTCAATTTGGCAGCTTTACAGTTTTTGGTGAGCTAGCAGGTAAGCTCAATTCATTTGGTGAGCTTTCAACAGATGGAAGATGGTGTTTTATTGTGTTTTCGGTTAGTCTAGATAATAGTTCTCCTAAGATTGGTTAGGACTGTTTAAAGAATCGTCTTTTATCTGCTTGTCCATTCTGCTTAGAATATTTTTACTTATGTCGTCAATCCAGTGTCTCTAAGCCTCCTTCGCTTTATCTTTTCAAGTTCTTTTGTTGTGGTAGGAAAGGATTGATTCATGTTAAGTGTATAATTGTTGTCTTTTGTCTTGTTTTTTTGGTGTTTTCTTTAGATATGGTTGGTTAAAAAATTAATTTTTGGTGATTTGTAGATGTTACTAAAGTCTTGACAGGGTTAGAGTTTACATACAAAGAGTTAATGTCATGACATCACCATATGGAAGAGTTTTGGATATGTTTTCATCACTGCCCCAATGTGAGTTTATCAGATTTTGATGTTATACAGAGAGAGGAAGCAACAATTAGCAATGTGATTATTTTAATTCTTGAACTTCTTTTTTGTAAACAGGTTCTATGGCACACAAAACAAGACAAACAAAAACGCCAACAAAGCGGTTCTTACGGTATTAGCAGCTCTAGCGGCAACAAAGCGGTTCTTATGGTTTATTTTATCACTCGAGCTCTGCCCATACGTTGCTTCAACATACAATTGTTCTTTTTTCTTAGGAAACGAGTTTTGGTCTAGTGTAGGTTTTGACAAGAAGGGCCAAAAATCAGTATACATTGAAAGAGTTTGCCACAATTCCAAGAGCCTTGACAGAGCTAAAAGTGAGTTCTTTTGTTTTGTTGTTTGTATCTTTTGGATGGAGTATAGCTTTGGAATTCATCGGAGCTCAAAGTTTGTTTTTTTACTTGATGACTTTGATTTGGTCAAATCATTGTGTGAAATTTTAAGTATTTTTTCTTGAATCTGTAGAAGTTTTTTAGGCTAATGAAATTATCCAATGATCATGAACAAGACTAGAGTTTTTAGAAAACTAGTCGTTGAAGTTGTTTAAGGTTAATAAAGTTATGTAATGACAAGTTTTCTCTTGGTTGTAGGTTCTGTTTTCACTGCAAATGTGATGGGTTGTGTCTACTCAAATTTTATGATATGTGATACGGAGATCAAGGTATGGAAGAAGATTAAGAGTCAAGACAGTGAAGTGGGAATTGCTTGGAATGAGACAACAACTTCAGTTCTTGGAGGGAGAGAAAGAGCAACATATGATGTTCGTTGTGACCTTGTTTTAAAAAATAGCGAATGATGAACTACTTTGTAAAATTACAATTATGTATCTTTTGATGATCTATGGAAAGAAACATGCTTTTAACAAATTGGTTTTATAGCATATAATTAATTGTATTTTTAATTAATATATCTGGAATAATATTGCAATTCATCATTTTATAATGTAGCATGTTAAAATTGCTACAAAACAATATAATATAGCAAAAATTATGAGTTACTAAAAAGTATATTAAAACAATCGATTAGTGCTATAATAGAACGATCTATGATAGCACACAAATAAACCGCTATTGTATGTGGGGGGTCTACCATAACAGGGGCATAACATAGCATTTATGAAAACGCTATTGATGACATATAATAGCTCTTATCTCTTGCTAACAATGTACATATTTCTTGTAGTGGTTGTTTGTCTTTAAGATCATGTCTCTGCTGAGATTTTGATGTCTGGTGGTGTGGATTGGAGTCTAAAGAACGAGAATGGTTGGAGGTGCGTTACAAGAAGCGGTTTGCACTAGAGAAGAGGCCATGATAAGTAACGTAGTAGATGTTTTGTAAGAGAACAAATCAATCACCCTAAACTTTTCTTGTAATGTAGCATCACATGTGAAGTGTTTTCTTGAGACACAAAATAATGTTTTCTTTGGTTATTGTTTTATTGGTCGTAGACTCGTATAGCAGATGAATATTCCACTTGTCAGAAACTTTTCTTGTCGCCATTGTCAACAAAATGGTTGGCCCTAAGCTCAAATCACCCTAAATCAAATTTTCATCTAGATCAAACACTAATCAGATAAATATTAATAGAGTAATTTGCACTCGAAAATTTGTTTATGAGATCCTTATTGGATTTGGCCCCCCAAAAAAAAAAGAGGTCCTTATTGGGCCTAGCCCATATACAAGAGTAATTTGGAGCCCAAAGAGAGGAGAGGAATGTTTCCACCCTAAACCCTATCACTGCAATCATCAACTCAGAGCCGGCGAAGCTTGCCGTTCCCGTCACCGGAGGTAAGCCGTATCTCTCTTTCTCATTTTCTTCTCCGATTTCGAACTCCAGCTAATGGGTTGATGGGATCCCATTGTTTGATTTTGAGAGTTGGGTATTTGAACTTGCAGAAGTATAGTGATTACATTAGGAAATTTGGGTATTTGAGCTTACTCTCTTGTGTTCTGCTTTTGTATCATTTGCATCTCTGGATTCTTTAAATTCTTTAAGATATGATATTTTTGTTTTGTGTCTTTGTTTGATGTTTTTTGCAGACTGCCCAGATTCTTACTACTCTTCTCTTCCGGGGCACAAAGCTTCTGTGAATTGCACTCATTGGTTACCCATTTCCAAGTTTGCTTTCAAAGGTACTTCTTCTAATCTAGATTGCTTGCTGTAATTTTGAATCTTTTGGTTTATGGGAACTTTTTGTTCTTGATTTAGAGTTTTTAGTATGTTGAATCACGCCATAGGTATTGCATTGCAAAGGAAGAGACTTTTGATGTTTTATCAGATAGAGATCTTATTAGACTGAAGAATTTGTGACTTATAGCTATCATTATAAATTTATAATTAGCTCATGATTATAGTTTTTAATGACTTTGTCTATCTTTTTCGTTTCTGACTTGGTGTATTACCTTTACTTAAATGTTTTGGTTTACTATTTTTGTTTTAATTTAGCTCATGATTTATCACAAAAAATTATTATACTTATATATTTTACTAAAAATTATTACTCATTACCCAAAAAAAAACTAAAAATTATTACTAGCTAAATAAATATTTTTATGGATGTAAATATATTTAAATTACATTTTTCTTGATTCAAAATATAATTATACAAATTTATAAAAATGAACTAAGAATTAAGTGAAATTGTCGTAGCTTCAGAGAAACGAACACAAAAACCTGCAGCAGCGGCAGCATCGGCGGCAAAAGCCGCGTCATCGAAACGAACACAAAACGTGGGGCTGCGGCGACGGCGACGGCGACGAAACGAACAACAACCTGCGGTAGGGTTTGCCGCCGCCAGCGGCGACGAAACGAACAGACTAATATATGTCTCTGTTTTTGTTTTCTGATTTTTTTGACTTTATCTTTGTAGAGTAAAGAGACTGAAAGAAAGCTTTATGTTGTTGTCGTTTTGTTTTTGTGGTATGGTTTAATGAGATAGTAATTGTTTTTCCCAAGTTCTAAGACTTATACCTTGAGTTTTTGTTTGTGTAGTCTTTTGTTAGAAGTGTCTAATTTTACGGTCTGTAGCCATCTTTAGGCTTATTTACAGGGTTTATGAAACTGATTAAAGATTTTGTTTATTCAGGAGGAAACCATGAAAGTCAAGATCTTGCGTATCCTTTTGTGGCTTCATCTTCTTAGCTTTCTGTGGGGAAGTTTATTTTAGACTGCGTTAGGTTGCAGCTTATGTGATAAGTCAGCCTAGGTCTTTTGATGGTGATCATCCGATATCATAGTAACCATCTTAACACTATTTATCGTGTACTAGCTTTACCGAGTTAGATTCCCAGCTTGATGATTCATAACAACTTTTTGCATCTTCCATTTTGTATTTTCAATTCTGTTAATCAATAGTTATTTTATGAGGATCCTTGTGATCGGTGTAACTGATGCTTATAAACTAGACTAGGTTTGTTCTAAATGGCTGCATTTCCGATTTGTTGCACAAGTAAAAGAAGAAAATGAAATTGTTGCTCTTGACTTTCTATGCTACTTCTGTCCTGCATACCCAAAAAACAGAGTAAGTTCCTCGTTCCTGTAGCTTTAACACATGAGCTTTCGCAATGCGGCGTTGCTTTCAATTTTAACTGATTGTTTCTCCTGGGAATAGATGGCATGCAGTTGCTTCATGGACATGGGATGCTCAAGACGAAACATGTGGGATATGTCGGATGGCTTTTGATGGTTGTTGTCCTGATTGCAAACTTCCTGGAGATGATTGCCCTCTAAGTAAAATTCTCTGCTTTCATGTCTTCACTTGTATATATTTTGCTTAGTACACACTATTTCTCTTTCTTACTGAAACCATTGCTAAACATTTCTACTTATTGTATTGGTGTTTTGGCAGTTTGGGGAGCTTGCAATCACGCGTTTCATCTTCACTGTATATTGAAATGGGTGAATTCACAGACGAGTCAAGCTCATTGCCCAATGTGCAGAAGAGAATGGCAGTTCAAAGAGTAAGCAAGTTATGAGGAGGATTAGTCTGAAGCTCTCATCATGGAGGATGTTCTGGAATGATCTCTTGGAGTTGATTTGGACCATTAGTGTTGAGTTTTGATCGTCTGCTGAAAGGCAAGAGAGAGCTTTAGGAATGTTTTTGAAGCTTTTCCTTAGTTTGATTGCTTGGACAAATCATAGATCATGCAATTTTATGTGAGCTATCATCATCTATGATCTTTGTTTGTAGTTAGATTTCTTTTTTTTTTTTTGTATCACGTCGCCTTTGAGCTTGCATTAATTTACTTGCGTGAAAAGCGGTTGAATTAATAACACCTTTTAAAGACCTGTAGGATGAGACGGAATGCTTAATCCGATTTGTTTTCAATACATTCAAATTTAACACATAAAACCAAATATATTTTATATAATGAAAAACTTTAGTTAAAATAAAAAACATTTGCAAAAAAAAACACCACACAGTAGGAAAAAAATATATTAACTTGAAAAAACTTTTGAAATAAAAACATTTTGTATATTAAAAAATATTTTACATAATAAAAATATTTGTAAAAAACCATTAAAAAATAGTCTAAGTGTTAAATTTACTTATGTGAAAAGCGGTTGAACTAATGACACCTCTTAAGGATCCGTAGGATGGGACGAGATGCTTAGTCCGGTTTGTTTTCAGTGCATTGAAATTAAAAAAAAATGAAAATTAGTCTAAGTGTTAAATTTGCTTGCGTGAAAAAAAGTTGAACTAATAACACCTCTTAAAGACCCGTAGGATGAGACGGGATGCTTAGTCTGGTTTGTTTTCAATGCATTAAAATTTAAAACTATAATGCATTTAAATTAAGACATAGTTTTAAAACCAAATCTATTTTATATTATGAAAAATTTAGTAAAATAAAAAAAAAAAACATATGCAAAAAAAAACACAAAGTAAAACACATTTTTTTAACTTGTTTTTTTTTTTGAAATAAAGGCATTTTGTATAATATTAAAATATAGTTAAAAAATACTTTACATAATAAAAATAGGAAAATCTATCAACACTACCACATTTTCTCCAATTCTTATCAAATCTATCACTTTTCTCGCATTCTTTCTAAATCTACCTCATTTAACATACAAAAGACTAATTTACCCTCACATCTATCTCTCTATTTTTTAAAAATCATTTTTCTTTCTTTTTTCTCTCTCTTTTTTACCTCTTTTTATCTTTCTATCCCACTCAAGAACAATGAGTTTCATTCATCTTTTTCTCATATTTTTTTTCCCACAAAATCTAGATCTGATTTCAAAAATAAAATCATCATCAAATCGAAATCTAAATTTTTCTCGACGATTGTAATCCTCTCGCTCGTCCCCGACAATATCTAAAGATGATTGTCTTCCAACATTGATTTGCTTGGCATGATTGATAAGATTTCTTGTTCATACTTAGGAAGAAGAATTCTGATTCTCTCACTATTCCATCTTTTCGTAATAGAACAGATAAGATGATCCACTTTCAGGTTCTGGCTTTGCTCTGTTGGTAGGTCCCATGGGAGTGATCGATTTTGACAGCGAAATCCACGGTTCGTACCACAAAAGAGTATTTGATCCAGATCCAATGGCCTTCCCTAGATGGACTTTCAGGAGGTCACGACCAATGCAAATACCCTTCCATTCGTGAGAAGCTGAACCGGAAGCAATACAATCCATGAAAGAGGAAGACTTACAGTATTTGCCCAGGAGAATTTTGGCCAGTAGACAGGAGGAAGTTTTAAGGATCCTCCAGCTTATTTTTACCAGCAGCGTATCATTAAAACTAAGTATATCTCTGAAACCTAGACCTTCAGCCTCTTTTGCTTGAGTTAGCTTTAACCAAGAGACCCAACACATTTTTCTTTTTTCTACAGAGGAGTCCCACCAGAATCTGGTAAGGGCAGATTGAATACGTTTACCAAGAGAACCAAGGATTTTGAAGCATGACATGGTATAGGTTGGCATAGCAGCAAGAACGGATTTCAACATTGTGGCTTTCCCAGCAGTGGACAAGAATCTTGAAGACCAGCTCAAAGATCTCTGTCTTATTCTGTCGATAATCAAGTTGAACATATCCTTCTTCTTTCTCCTGAAAAGTTCACGAAGACCAAGGTACTTACCTAAGCCTCCTACATGTTGCATTCCCGGGGTTTGATGAGCTCTTTCTTTTATGCTCTCTGGAGTCTTAGCTAAGAAGATAGATTTTTCTTTTGTTGATCATTTGGTCAGATGCAATTTCATACATTTGGAGTATTTGAAGTAATGCTTGACAACTTTGCTCATTTGATTTACAAAAGAACATAGTATCGTCCGCAAACAACAAATGGTTTACTCTTGGACTGCCCAATACTATAATACCGGGTAGAAAGCCTTCAGAATGAGCTTTGCTGCAAAGGCCAGAAAGGACCCAGTTCTAAAACCCGATAGAAAACCGATAGAAAACCACACAAACTCAACATAACCGAAATTAAACCCCGACCCAGTTCTAAAACCCGACCCAATCCAACACCCGACCATAAGTCACCCAATTTCTTCTTCTTCTTCACCCAACAACTTTAATGGCTTCACCAACGGTGTATAAATCCAACCAAACAATTCTTAAAAACCTAATTTTTGGGGTCACACTATTGTAGTTGAGAACGTTGAATCGAACAGCCGTGCTCTTCGTGAGCTTTCTCTTCACTACTCCTGGAGCTCTTCCTTGCCTTAGTGGTGTTATCCTCTTTGAAGAAACTCTCTACCAGAAATGTTGAATAATTGAGGGAGAATGAAGAAACAGAGTAAGAGATAAGAATTATCTCTTCTCCTCGAAAGAAGGCAGAGGACGAAATAGAAAACTTTTTATTAATCTGAAACTTGTTGGTTTATTACAACAACACACTTCCACTTTAATACATAGATTCTGGGATTTGATCAATTTGGCGATTGGTTTGTTCTTTGCAATTGTTGACAATGATAATTTTTTCATCTTTCATCAATGGATTCTTTCTTGGCAACGAGCCAACGAGTAACAGCTAAAGACTTTGCAATCGATCGCTAAAACATATAAACGATAGTCCCTGAAACATACAACAATATCAATCAATGTTAAAACCCTGCAAAAACTTTTAAGCTTCGTCGTCGTCGATAAACAACAAAGATTCATTTTCCGATCTCCGATTTGCTCCGAAGTGTGAGAAAAATGCCGTTTGCAGAGAGAGAAGGATGGGAGAATAGCGATTCCAAATTCTGCGGCTTGGAAACTGATTTCTCCGACGATGTTTCTTCTCCTCTCTCTTGGTTAAAGACGATTGCAATCGAATCTCAAAGCTACGATTGCTCATTTTGATTGGGTTGGGTTTGGTTGTAATTGAACGGGTCTGGGTCATGGTTATTTGATGTATAATCGGGTTTATTTTGGTTTTTAGGTGGTTTAATTTGTTTTGTAAACATTTAACCGACTAAAACCAAGGTATGTGGGGATATAGGATTCGAACTATTATTTCGGGGAGATATAAGTTTCGAACTTTCGATTCATGGAGATATAGAATGAGAAGTATTGTTTTGGAGATATCTAGCACGAGGTTAAAGTTTGGACTCTATCTGGTATGATGTCATACTTCTCGTGGGGAAATAGACCGTTTTTCCGGATAATGGGTCTTTTTGTCTGATTCCTCTTTGGGGAGTGATACTTCCTTGTGCTGAACCATTAAGTAAGAAAGAATAGGAAATAATATAATCACATTGCATGATCCAATCAACCCACTTTTGGTGAAAACCATTCATTCCATAAAATTTAACATCAGTAAAAAGTAAAAAGTAATATTAAATCTTTCAACGTACATTTATGTCCTAATTCTTTGAGAACATTTAGAAACATCACAATCACGCTTTTCATTTTTGAAGTTGTCCAAATTTTGTTCGTCCATTTATTGAATTTAGCTGAATGTAATAAAACCTATTTTTTTATATAACAAATAATGCAGCTAGAATCAAACAAATTTTTTTTTATTTTTGTGAATTATCATTTTTCTAATTATTTAATTTGGAGAATACGTCCAAATGTGTTTATAAAGTCCGAAACTAAAAATGGTTCTTTGTCCCCATTATTTTTTTTCATTTCAAATTTCCATCCACTTAGATTCAAAATATCATCTTTTTACCGCCAACGAATCGCTACCGTACACGTGTCCCTTCTGTAATCACCTCATTTGATATCGAAGCTCGTCGAAATTAGTGGATATAAAAAGTTAAGTGGACTTATAATAATTGGGTTTTCAACGGCCCATTATCTCCAATTTAAATAATATTTTCTCTTTATTAATAAAGTAGTGGCCCACATAGCAACGGTCCAATTTCACAGTCTAATCAGACTCGTAACGGTCATCTACTTCCCCCACCCTAAATTAATATTTTAATAACCTGAAATTAAAAAGGAAAAAAAGGAAATCTAAAAGACAAATAAAAAGAAAACCCTAAATCCCCAAATCCATGAGTACACTTCTTCTTCTTCTCTGTAGCTCTTCTAAGTAAACATCATCTCTTTGCAATGTTGACCCGTTGATAAGCTCTCGAAGGAATCTATTATCTTCAAACTATCTCGTTAGCTCTTTGGAACTGTTAGAAGAGAATGGGTTGCTTACTTGGTTGCTTTGGTCGTCGGAAGAATCGTCACCGTCAAAGACGTCGTGAATCTTTCAATCCTCGTTTAAACGTAAGTTTTCTCAGGAAATAAAAAAATCACATCTTTCGATTCTATTAGTGATGATTTGCTTCAGCTTCAATTTTTGTTGGGTTTTGCTTGATCTGAAGTAATTTTGTTTTTTCTTTTTGTTTATAGAGAATCTCTGAGGAATCTACAAAGGATGTTCTTTTGAATCTTAGGGTTCCTAATGTTGAACAAGTCCCAAAGTATATAAAAGATTCAAGTGTTTTGGAAGTCTCTAAAATCTCGGAGGTGTCTTCAAAAGATGATCATCTAAGTGTTGAGCAAGTATCTAAAGTTTCTGTGATTCCGATTACTGATATCTTCTGGTAAGTACTTAGACTCATGTTTTTGTGTTTTGGTGTTTTAGCTAAACAGATTTGATTTATTTGATTCTTTTCTTTAAATTGTAGTGGCAAGGTTGAGGAGAAACAAAGTCCGAGTCCGAGTCCAAATCGTAAGAGAGTGACTTTCGACACCAATGTTACAACATATGAACACATTGTAGTAGATGAATCTATTGAGCTCTTTGAGGAGAAGAAACAAGAGGTGAAGTCGAGGCAGGAGAGCGATATTACTACGTCTAACTCGTCAGGGTCTTATCCTTCAAATCATAGATATCAGAATTGCAGAGAAAGTGATGATGAAGAGGAGGATGTAACGGATATTGATGATGATGATGATGATGATGATGATGATGATGGTGGTGGGCTGCTTGATGAAGACTATTATAATGATGACAGTTATGAGGATAAGCTGCATAACTGGGATAAAGTAGTTTATACCGAGGAGATTGCGGATAATGTTATGGATATCAAGAGGATTGAAGAAAAGAGTAATGTCAGTGCTAGAGACAGGAGTGGGTATGTTAACGCAGTACTGAACCCGATCGAGAATCTTTCCCAATGGAAAGCTGTGAAATCCAAAGGAAGAACAACTCAAACACAGCCTCGTAAGGAGAACGCGATAAATGCTTCCTTCAGCTTGGAGCCTCAGGTTGATGAGTTATCATCATCATTCAGCTTGAACCAGAAATCAAGAGATGAAACTAAGAAACAGAGAACTCAAGAAATAGCTGTTGATGCTAGTCTCTCAACTTGGTTATCCACATCACAGACCACGGCCAGCGGATGCAGCAGTGTTGAAACCGCAATGTCTGAGAAGAAGAAGAAATACTCGAAACCGGTTCAAAGCCACGATGAAAGACCTATACTGGGCGCATTAACTGCAGAGGAGATAAAACAGTTTTCAGCTACGGATTCGCCAAGGAAATCGCCAAGTAGAAGCCCTGAATCACCAATAATCGGAACAGTCGGTGGTTATTGGAACAATCACTCAATGGCCACCAGCAAGTACAGTTGAAGCTCTTAAAACTCAAATTCTACAACAGAGAAACAATTCCACACATGTTTGGTTACTAAATTGTGAGTAAAATTTCATTTATTTGTTACTAAATTGCCTTTGTGAAATTATTTTCATCTCTCTCTTTGTTTGTGTGTGTGTGTGTGTGTGTTTGGTTGATAATCAAATCGTTGTGTTTTGTGTGTGATTTGATTTAATTAATATTCATTCTATTTGTTTGTATTTTACAGAAATTTGTCTATTTTATTTCACAAGTAATTCAAAGTTTGTATTTTTTTTTTGTCCTTACAAATCCATATAATCCAACAAAGAACACCAAAATCTGAAATTAGGCCAAGCAAAATGGCTCAAAAGGGTGAACAAAACGCAAACGCAAATGCGGTTCCTGATTAACAGTCGACGCCACACTGCTTTAGTAACGGACCAGTCTGTTTCGGCAAGAACGGATCGATCCGAACCCAAACCAACGAGAAGATCGAGGCGAGAAGGATAGACCAAAGAACAACGATTGTCGGTGTTCGGTTTTGTCGACCCATCAAACCTTTGAGGAAAGGGTAAAGATGAACAATGACCCAAAACGCGAAAAACAGTTTCCCAAAGAGCGGTCCCCAAGAACCATATCCATTGTTAATAGCGTCAGAAACTCCGGCGACAACACCAACCATGTTAAGGATGATGAGCGTAGTCGGAGGGATGAGAAGAGTTGTCCATTTGAAGAGGTAAAGATCTCCAAACTCATCAGCTTCGTCACTGGCTCCTTTTGACGTGACGGTGAAGTTAGTGTCAACACCGAAGAGAACTTTGAGAAGACCTTGAAAGACTGCGAAGAGATGAGCTGAGACACCACCGATTACCCAGAATTGCTCGTTACGCCAGAGGTCGTTTATGCTCACACCACTCCACCGGAGCTCTAAGATCGCCGTCGCGATGATTGATAGGAACAGAGCCAGGAACCATATACTTGCGAAATTGTTTATCTGATACAAAGAGCAAATGGGTGTTAAAATAGTTTGATCATTTCTTTGATGTTGTGACAAATCAAGAACATTTAGGGTAACAGTGTGAAACTTACCGTAGGAATGATGAACTTGCCGGTGAGAAGACAAACAGCCGGAATAGTACAATAAGCGAGTAGAGGAATAGAAGTGAAAGGATAAACAATTGTGTTGATGTAAGCAAGACGTTCAAGAATCTTGAGTTTGCCTCCCCAAGCATACCACAAAGGACAATGACGACTAAAGAAGATTTCGACGGAACCGAGTGCCCATCTAAGTACTTGATGCAACCGATCGGATAAATTGATCGGAGCTGATCCTTTGAAAGCTGGTCTTTTAGGCATACAATAAACTGATTTCCAACCTCTACAATGCATCCTGAATCCTGTAAGGATATCTTCCGTGACTGATCCATATATCCATCCAATCTGAAAACAATATTGAAACAAAATCAAGAGTCAAGCACTAATATCCATACTCAAATCATTTTTAAAATAAAATTAAACCACTCCACTTTTTAAAATTAAATAAAAAGTTTGATTTACAAATGTTGTAAATTGTAAAAATATCATAATTATTTTGTAAAATTTGGTTTAGTTGATGAGTTCTGTCATTTAAATTCTCGAATCGCGGATAGATTTTTACCAAAAAAAATATAAAATAAGGTTAACAAAATTTTAGATTATATTTATAATCTTTAGAAATTATATTATAAGTTGAAAATGAATTTTAAAAAATAAATTAGTTTTTATCATCTTGAAATTAATTTTGTTCATTGTTTTAGCAATTCTGCAATATTACCATTAGGACCTATAAATTATGATTATTTACCTCTTTGCCCCATTCAGTCTTCTCTTCATAACCACAGCTAATAACATGAATAGCTTCTTTGATCAACGAGCTCGTGTTCGTCGCCTCCGGCAAACCTCCGTTCTCCATCAACGTCGACGCAATAAACACAGGAGACATCCCAAATCTCTTCTCAAAATTCTTCTGCGACATTAACGACGATTTCTCAAGCTCATCATATCCTTCAAGCCCTTCTTCAATATCTTCCAAATCAAAAATCGCCTCCGTCGATGATCGTTTTCTACTATAGCTACTCATCGTCGTTGTAGTATCACTCTTCTTCTTGTTCTTCTTCTTTAGTTTCGATAACAAGCTTTTGATTCCTGATTTCTTCTTTGACGAATCTGATGATTTCGATTTGTGATTACGGTTACCTCCGCCGCAGCAACAGCAAATCCACGACGGCCAACAATCACAGGTCATCTTTTTTCTTTTTTCCGATACCGGTGGTTCGTATCCGTATAATGCTGGTCTATTGAATACACATCCTGTTCCTACGTAGACTGGTCCTTGAATTCCATCTAAGCCTCTCATGTTTATCTGCAAGATCATGACAAAATTCAGATTTTTACCAAGTGTCAATTGCTCAACTGGTAACTACTAGAGGTCGCCGGTTCGAATGGCACTTGGGAAGAGACCATATAAAATGTTATGGTCTGGCCTAAAGGGATGTACAGTTTTTCAAAAAAATGAAATCAGTGTTTTGAATTTGGGGGTTTTTGATGATCAAGACTTACATCGAAGAAGACGATGTTTCTGTTGGCGTATCGATCGTTATGATCAATTCCGTCGAATCTTTGAGGGAATTGAACATAACAAAGCTTTTTACCAAGCTGTGGATCCATTAGAAAGCACATTGATTCTCTTATGGCTTTACTGTTGTTGATGTAATGATCACAGTCAAGATTAAGCATGAATGGAGCATTTGTGAGCACTGCTGAGACTCGAACCTGAAACATCACCGGAAAACAGTTAGATTTGGTTTCCGAGAGAGCTTTTTACTGTTTGTTTTGCTTTGTTTTGCTTACCATTGCATTCATAGCTCCAGCTTTCTTGTGGTGTGCGTAACCAGGACGCTTCTCTCTTGATACATACACGAGGCGTGGCAATTCGTTACCATCAATGTCGAATGCTCCTTCTTTACCGAGATACACCTGAAAAAGTTGAATCAAAGTAGTTGTTTAGATCAAAAGGTGGAACCTTTGATGGTATACTGTAACCGTTGGGGTTTTGAGGTTTTGTCGTTACCTGAATCATCCCGGGATGATCACGAGTGTTGTTACCAGGCCATGGTGTACCATCTTGCATCACCCAACCTTCTTCAGGCTTCTTCTGAGCTTTAGCCACTAAGGCATTGATCCTCACTTTGAATTCTTCATATTCTCTCTGCAAAACATTGACAAGAATGTCAAGATCTGTTGTGTGATTTAAAAAGTAAGAGATCTTTCGCCACTGACCTTCATTGCTCTGCGATCTTTGACGAATGTAGTTTGGACTTTATCCTTTAAGTAATCAATCTTCTCAGAGAAGTAAAACTCTGGTGCTCTTGGCTCAACATTGTACTTCTTGCAAAACGGAACCCATCTCCTTGCAAACTCGGAAGTTTCAGACAATGTGTCGAACAGGAGCATTGATGCACCGTCATCAGACACATAGCAGCTAACCTTATTTACTGGGTAATCAACAGCTAAGATCGAAAGAATAGTGTTGGCTGTGATTATCGGAGGTTCCTTGAGCGGATCCACCGTACTGACAAACACATCAACCGGTGCAAGCTTGTTCTTTTCGCCATCCCGTTCAAATCTCATAGAGAGACGGTCAAGATAGGTTTCTCGGTTAATTGGAAACCATTTCGGGAACTGATCAAGGATCCAAGAAAGTGCGAACCAGATCTCACAGATGACTGAGATAAGCCAGAGAGGGTATGCGTCTTTTGCTGGTGTCAAGATACGGAAACGGAAGAAGAAAACTAAGATCACAAGACGAAGAACGATCACAATGCGGTAAGGACTGATTTTGCTCGATGAGATTGGGACTTTTCTCCAGAGAGGTTGTCTTGCTTCAGCATCTCTGTGAAAAACAAGAACTCAGTTACTTACGCTCCAAGTCTTTATTTCTTGAGATTAAAGAAAGATCAGTTTATTTTTGTTACAGGTATTCTTCTTCTTCATCATCTTCTTTGTCTTCGTTTGTTTGTTCGCCTTTAGTCACTAAACCTCTCTTCTCTTGCCTCGCTTTCCATTTATCTACTCGTTCTTTCCACTCCGCATCTGTGTAGCCATCTCTTTCAGCTTCAAAGTCTTTCCCCAACACTTCAAATCAAATCACACAGAAACAGGTCTCAAAATTTGCGTTTAGAAATCTATAGGTATGTATTTAAATCACACATATATTTTCTATTTATACCACTTCCGGTGGAAGAAAAGGCCCGACCATTTGGACGCCATTGCTGCTTACTATTGTAATCTCCATTTTCCTGCATTACCGAGAAAATACTCAGAATCTTGATTCTATATGGGAAGGAGAGACTAAAGAAAAAGAAAAAAAAACATGGATCGAAATCAAATAATACCGATCCATAGGCAAAATTCTGGTGAATGGAGGAAGCATCGTGGCGATTCTTGATATTCAACTCATCATCTGAATCATCGGGACCATTGTTTTCTTCATCTCCAGCGATTTTCGGAGAGCCTTTAAACAAACCAGTTCACCAATATGAGAGTTAAGCAAGTTATAGATGCTAAGACAAAAAACAGAGTTTAAGTTAATCTACCTTTGTGGCGTTTGTAAATAGTGTTGCATTGAGGGCAACATTTGTTACCGTTGCTACGCTCATATTCATAGCAAGGTTTGCAAACCGGGTAAGCGCACACGTGGCACGCCACAAAAGTCTGGCCATTGTCATCGCCTTTGACCTCATCGCCACAAACTCTACAGATCTTAGCCGAGGATGAATGACGATGCTGCATTCATAAAATGTACATAAGTTTGAGATACTAATGCGAATCCAAATGAAAGAATTTGGTCAAGAAGGAAACACAGGAAACAAGTTTCGGTTTTGTTTTGTTTCTTTCTCTCTTACCTCATCGTCAAAGGTGGCCATGGTGTTTGGTTCCATGGTGAGGCAAGCTGAGCTCGAAAGCAGAGCAGAAGGAAGGAGAGAGGAATGTATGTGACTATGTGTTTTGATGATTGAAGAGATAAGAAGTAATATAAGGAGAAGATGTTTGAATTTGTTGTGAAGAAAACTGAGGTTGTACCAAACTGTGAGGTGAAATTGGGTCTGAGGTTTGTGTCATAAGAAAGCTTCAAGAGACAGCAACAAGATTTGGTGGAAGAAGGAGACAGCTCAGTGTAGTCAGTGTTTTTATATATTTATTTGCTTGAGCTTCCAACCTCTGCTGTTCTTATTAGTTCTTTAGAATTTGTATAACTTAGAGTAGCTTTCAAGTTACTATGTATTTCTACTTTAGTCTTACTTAATACTTTGATCTTATATCTGAACTTTACCAAATTCAGCAATGTTCTTGAATCCAATTAGGTAGAGAGAAAGACAAAGAGGAGATTATATAACAAAAGCCCAAAATCAATTTAACAAAGGCCCAAAATGGTAATACAAAAAAAAAACACAAAGATGATCATGGTTCAAGGATCATAAGCATTTGAATTGGTTATATAAACCAGAAAAAAAAAAAAAGGAGTGGCATGAATGACTCAAGAATCAGATTGAAACTCTGATCTTATTGTTTTGTTAGTAGATAAGATTTGATCAGGCGACATAGTAGATGGAGTTAGGGAGCTTGAAGGTTCTCTTGGGAACTGGACAACCAGAGAAGCTGTTCCATTGTGCACCCATCACTCCCCAAACTCTGTAACCAAGACTTGTAAGCCATGACCTCAAGTCTGCTTTGTATTGGCTCACACTCTTCTTCTCATCATCTTCTCCCCTGCATTTTTCAAGTTTGATAATTTTATTATACTTGGTTCATTATATTATACCATAATGCTCGAATTATGTTGAATTATACTATCAATGTGTCGATACTAGATATGAAAAAGAATTCTACTTTTTTACCCCTAATTAGACATAAATATTAATGTTTTTTATATGATTTCACAACTCAACCCTTTAATTTACTCTCTCTTATTTTTTGTCAAACTCATTAATTACTCAAATAAACAAATAATGACAACCATAAATTAAATGCTGAAAGAAACCAACCTTAATGACTCCAAAAACTTAAATAACTTACCTAAAAGAAATTCAAATATCGAATGGTTTTTGAGATTTTATTTTTTATTTCGATTCTAGTCTTTTTTTTTTGTGTTAGAGAATAAATGAACTTCAATAGAATGACAAAACCTATCTGAATTGTTCTAGTTTTACTATTGGTTTTGGTGAAACTGGTAGTGAAATTTTCGGTTTTACTCGGTTATTAAATATGACTCAAACCAATGCAATATATACCTGAGAAGGAGGTTAGACCAGCCGTGGTAACCGGCTTCGATAAGGTTTTCGACGGTGGCAGATCTGAGATACTCTTTACGAGAAGAGATCAAAAAGATCTTGAAACCTCTCTCTCTGATCTCATGGTACAACTTCACCATGTTGGGAACTGCTGGTGCCTTGCCCAATTTTTGCCATTCCTCGAACTTGGTCGTGTTCAATTGCTCACCACTGATTCAAATCAATGTAACATTTCAATTCCGGTTACTCTAAACCGGATTAAAGCTAACCAAAAAATAGAAAATTTATAGAGGAAGACATATAAACCGATCTGAACCAAAATTCAACCCAATTTTTTCTTTGTAACCTGATCAATTTTTTTGTTCATATGGATCTTTAATTTATTATTTTATCCAAAAAACCGAACCAAAAACCAAACTAAAATTTTGTCAAACCAAACCGAGGCCAATGGTTAAGTTTAGTTTATTTACCCGAAACAGCCGTTGCTCTTGTGGTAAGGAATGGTGGAGAGAAGAGTGTCATCAATGTCAAAGATCCAAGCATCCATGCCATCGCATATCTTCTTTTCGCAACAAGTTTTTCCGAGGTAGAGGATGGCTTCATCGACGGCTCTCTCCACGTCATCCTCGTATTGAGATGAGGTCATGTACTTTTGGACGAACCATACACATTCTTGTGGCACCACCAAAAAGTCCCTGATGTTGTTAAGCTCCACGTTGACTCTCCAGCTTTCGCAGTATCCGTTTAGGTTTGGTCCTTTCAAAGATGTGACGCCGGTCTGGCTAGTCTTTGTTGTGGTTCCTTTGAGCTGGTTCAGGATGTTCCAGTCACGAGCTGAGACCATTCCGGTGAAGAGGACAGCGAGGGTTAGGGAGAGCAACAAGGATCTAGCCATGTTGATGATCGATGAAGAAGAGTAGTGGTTTTGGCGATCTGATCTCTAATATGGTTGTGTTTATATAGAGTATGTAGAAGTGCAAGTCAACAAAACAAAACAAAATTAAAATGAAGTTCTTTTCTATTAGATTTACTACTAACTATAGCATCACATGGGTTAATTTTTTTAGGAAGAATTCTTTGATATTGTATTTCACTAAACATATATTAAATAATTTCTGAAAACTCAACAAAACACAAAAGTAAATTTTTATGTATTTTCTCTAAATTACTAGTTCTGTTTCTTACATTTAAAGAGAATGTCATTAGATATTGATATTCTTATACATCTTTCTTTTATCAGATGATTTATTTTTACGAATGTTACCGTGAACTTTCGAATTCAAACTTATCATTAATAGTTTCTTTTGTTAAAGATGATTTTTAACTTTAGTTGCATTATGAATTAGTTTGTCTATAGCTACCAAATAAATAATTGTTTGCACTTTATCCAATAGAAACAAACAAAAAGGTAACAATATAGTGTTTTTAGTCCAACTATATATGTATTAATAAATATTTAAAGATAAATCTTATCATGTTCATGTGATCAAATACAATATACATTAAAATATTTTGGGGATGAATGTGAACGACAGCACATTTTCACATAGATATACAATAAATCTAGAGTTGGAGGAAAGTGGGCACCATGTCTTGATGTGATATAGTAATAGGCAACTTGAAGAAATGAGGTGAGAAACATCCATTACAGCTCATGCAATTTAATATAATCAGCTGTGTTGGCTGTCTGAATAAATGTCTTCTTAGCTAATTTATATTCGGGATATATATGATCAATTCTAAAAAAAAAGATATATAAATAAGTCTAAATATTTATACAAACCAACCAAAATTGTTGTAGACCATGCTTATCGAAAAGATAAGAAAATGATATAAATACGACGGAGAGATAAAAAAAAATGAGTCGATTTATATTTAATTTTTTGGTTGTCATAACACAAAAGTATTTCCTAATGTCATTTGAACAATGATGGTTGGAAGTCATTTTCACACAACTATTTCTATTGTAATCATTTTGTTAAAATCATCATTTTTGAAGACTCGTAAAACTATTCGACTTTCTGGAAGATCAGTATGTATTTTTTTTTTATTTTTTTTGGACAAAATCAGTATGTATGGATTTCATTCCATCACTGCAACATTCATAAAAGAGGGTTTGGAGGTCGCGATGAATGACTGCTCTTCTTGGCGATTTTGGTTGGACTTGGTCATATATACTTGTTAAAAGTGTTTCAGCTAAAACGTATTCACGCTATAGAGTTTTTTTCAGGATAAATTATATATGAAAAGTAAGTACATTTTGATGACATAAATAAGCAAATCAATTCTATTATGTGTTTCCACATACACCGAGATCATGACTAAAATCACAATAGAAAAAAGCTTAAACTCTAGTCTCATAGTTTTATAATAAATCATTCAACTACTAAATCATCATGAATCGATCAGTGATTATCTTTTGAAACTTTTTAAATTTTGTAGACCTATCTATGGCTAATTAACCCTCACTCATGCAGTCGTGTGAGATAGTAATATGCAAAATCTCAGTTTACACTATTTGATATGTTCCATTTTGTGTATATTTTATTTCAAAATGTAAAAATATATTTTCTCGGATCAAAATATTAATTAATTGTTAAAATTTGTCTTGTTCCAACAGATATAATTTTTTTTGTAACAGATATAGACGACTATATGATAGATTTGAACAAATATTTACTTATGTGAATAGCTGAACTCATGTGTAATGTTAACCTAATCCTTATTCGGATACATTACATCCTTAACAACATTTCCCACGTTGTAATTTTATTTTTTCTTTGCTTAACATATATATGTGGTGCGACTTTAAGAGATATATCTTTTTTGTACCAAATCCAAGTTTTGACAACTCATTCAGTTCTTGATCAGTCTGGATTTACACAGTCGGCAATCGGGATGCTTATCATAAATTACTTTTTTCAATATTTCATTTCAACTTTTTTTCATTTTATTATTACATATTATTTGTCATTTATTAATATTTTGGACCATTTCGTTAATTTCAACTCTTCCTGACAAATTTAGAATATATAACAACTTTCGTTAATAATAATAATTGATGGCCCTCTTGACTATGTTCTTTATCCATGTGTGAAGTGTGATATCAATCGACGACGAGATTGGCTTTTTGGTTTATGTAGGGATGAATAAAAATACAGAATCTAATTTGCTTCAAAGATTTTCATTATTTATTAGAAATAATTTGGTTTTATTAGATAGATGTCATGTTAACTACTCCGAGTCCCCATTAATCAAATTAATAGATTCACATTCAGTTGACAAAACAAAATAAAACCAAGTTTTACACATTTTGGATTTTATTTTATTTGAAAATGTACAGACAAGCCATTTTCGTCACATGTGATGTCAAAAAAATAAAATTTAATAAGAAAGTTGTTGATGTAATTTTTTTTTTTTTAAAAGCAATTGATCATGCTTGGTCTTGTATGGACAGTCAGGTCCGGTCCGGTTCGGTTCACGACATAGCTGAAGTTTTTCTATAGAATGGTTAAACATCGTGTAGTTTTTAATACACAAAAACGTCACAAAGTTTTTATTTAGAAAACCAAAACCTTAATTATTCAGAATACCGAATCGCGTCTCTTCTAGGGCAACGAACGCGCGGGAAACAACCCAAAGACGAAAGCTTTTCACTGATTCACGATCATGCCTCAAGCCAATCGCTCAAATCGCTTGTGCTTTTATGAAATTAGGGTTATTCTCTTTCGAATCGAATCAAAATAAAGAAGAAATGGTTTGGAATTACCCAGAAATCTCCAAGGAAGATTTCATCAAACTATTGAAAGGGTTTGTGGATTTGCTCATTTTAGCATCTGGGTTTCAATCTTCTGGTGTTCCTGCTCATTGGGATTCTGAGAATTGCAAGAAAGCTCTTCAATGGGGTCTCTTCTTCGAAAATGTTGGCTTTTTCTCACTCTCACTCTCACTCTCACTCTCACATTGATTCCGCTAAATTGCTTGTGTTCTCCATTACTAGGTTTTAAGAAGCATAAAGAGTTCAGATACGTTTGGGGAATCTGTGAGAGAGCTTGATGAAGCAATATCAGAGATAAAAACCAACCCTTTGTTCCCAAAGGTTGTGTTTTTAGTTTTTTTTTGCTTATTACAATCTCTAGTCATAAGTGAAACTTTAGGTGGATTTTAATTTGTTGGAATTTTTGTTTGTTTGGAGAAAAATATCAGGGTTTGGAGAATTTATCATCAGATACTCTTTCAAATGGGAGAGAATTTGTGTTAGAGCATTTGATGAATAACTCGACATTGAAGGATAAACAACTCCGAGCTATTCTGGTTGCAGCGGTGGAATCAGGTGACGGTATTAGAGAGATAATTGATGGGAAGCTCTGTAAGAGGCAATCTGTTGTGTCCTGTGTATCAGCACTTGAGACTGGTTTGAATATCCTTTCTAAGCACATAGAGCCCAAAGAGTTGCTACATAGAGAAGACAATAATACAACTTTCTTGAGGTATGTTGTGCTTTCTAAGTATGAGATAGCATGTATTGCAATAATCTTGGTGTACTTGTTGATGAACTTGATGTCATTCTTTTTCGTAGCTCGGAAAAACAGCCTATTGAGCTTTTGACCTGGAACATCTGGCAATCGAAAGCTATATCTTATTTTCTTAGTAAGAGAACCTTAAGATTGGTATCGGGAGCCAGCTTGATATTTTCTTCACCAAAAGCTCAGTGGGTAGAAGTGTTAAGAAGGCTGCGTGTTTCAGCTGAAAGTAATGACGATATATTCATCGAAAAGATTGTAAGTTGATCTGATTCTTGAACTAGGTATATCCATATTGGACTCTTCTGTTATGTTAGAAAAGTGGTCACTCTTACTTGGAACACATGTGGTGATATTGCTGAAGAGCAGGAGCTATTGTTACTAGGATGCGTTTCAAGCAGATGGACTCATTTAATCGAAGGTATCATGTTAGTTTCCTACAAATCTGTCACTGTGTCAGAACAATACGAGGAGTTATGCAAGCTGCTTCTTCAAAGATCTAAAAGTTTAAAACAGAACGAGATTGCTTTGAATTCAAAGGTCACTCTCTCAACTACAATCATTTATTGAAATTTTTAGTTTTCTTGGTTTATATGTAACATTTGCTATATGTAAATCATGTTTCTAACTTTTTTGGTTTCTTCTTATATAGGTTGAAGAGATTCTAGAGTATCTAACAGAAATACTAGAGAGTCGTTTACATCACCTCTGGAAATTACCTTCCGCCCTTACCGCAGCAGCAATTCCATCATGGTAATTTCAACTGTAGAATTCCTCATTTCGACATTGCATTTAATTACAAGTCTTGTTTTCTGGCTTCGGGCGTGAGTTTGATTACAATAATACCAATAGAAGCTATTCATGTGTTTTATGCTATGTTCGCTTGGATTTTTGCCTGAATACTGATATTTTTATTGAGTGGCTTTTGGTTTGGACAAAGAAAATTATAAAACATCAAAGAATGTATCTCTAATAGAAGAAAATCTATCATGATCTAAAATACTTGAGTAAATTAAAACCTATAACCAAACTCTTTTAACCTGGATAAACTCGTGTAATTGCTCTTTATGCATCTTGTTCTTTCATTTGTGATATCCCTCAATAGTACACAGATGCCACAACAGAGATTTTGTATTCAGTTCTTGTTTAAAGTAACATTTTGTTAAAGATCTTGAACCATGGTATCACAGGTCACCTCTGTTTGGTCTGTATTTTGGCGAAATAGAGAAACAGTTGAAACTAGACCACTCAACAACAAGGTCAAGTTTCTCTCTAAACTTCCGTTTCACATTGTTCTTGAACCTAAACACTTAGAAAAACCAACATCTATATATCTATATCCTTCTCTTCTACAGATGTTGTAGCTGCGATAAAGATCTAAACGAGCACAAGGACTGTAAGTTACACAACTACATAGTACTTTCCTTGAAATTTCACAAGTTCCCTTGACATATCTTTTCATTAACTTAGATAGCATTGTGTTCATACGCGTAGGTGAGCTCGCGGAAAGAGTTTGGTCCTTGTACGTATTCCATATCTGCAAATGCCACTAGAAAAAAACTAATGGTCATTGATCAATACAAGAAGATCAGCTTTCTTCAAGGTAGGATCACATTGATGCAGATGTTTTGTCAATATAGCTTATGAAAACTCTGTTTTCTTGCGTTTGCGATTAGACGAAGAAAAAAGAATCACAATCAGTTCAATAAATTGGTATGATGGTTGATGGATAAGTAAAAGAAAGATCCAGAAATGAAATTGATTTGTAGTTCGAGATATTTCCTTTGCTTATTTTGCTTCTTTAAAATTGAATTCTCTTTGTCTAATTGTTATCAATCGTTGTCTTTTTGACTCATGTAACGTTACTTTTACGTCATGTAACAAGAAAGCAATTACGCGTGGGGTCTAACTTTAGGCATAATCTTTTCTTTTTGGTATATTCTTGTATCAATCCATATCATGATCTAGGCCTGGGTATTCGGGTCGGGTTTTCGGATTCGGGTTTTTCAGATCTAGAAGTTTAGGACCTGTTCGAGTATTTTAAGATTTCGGGTCGGATTCGGTTCGGGGTTCGGGTTTGGGATTGTTCAAAAAATTCAAAAATCAAAATTTTATATGCAAATCTATCAAATTACTTGAAAATTTCGAAAATTCCCTAAACAACACGAGTATTTTTATTTGAATATATCCAAAAGTAACCGAAAATACACAAAATAACCAAAATATCCGAAAAATCCGAATATTTTTCTATATATAAGTATAAATATTACTAATATATCATTAATATATACTTATATTTGAGGTATGTTCAGGTACCTGTTCGGGTCGGGCTCGGTTCGGATCAGGTTTTTCGGGTCGGATTCGGATCGGTTCCTCGGGTTCGGGTATTATGTCCAGGTCTATGACATGATATAACCTAAAACGTCGTCGCTTTTGCTATGGACGGTGTAGACTGACCGGTTAAAAAAGTAGACACTCAAATCTCACTTTAACCGAATGTTTCCAAGAATTTCAGACAAAAGAACTGATGAGAATGAGTTTGCATCAGATAATGCTTTTTGATAAAGGGTTTCAAAAGTGGAATTATTTAATCGTTGAGATTTTGCTTCACCGTTGGTTATACAATAAAAGTTGTATTTGATTCTCCACCCAAACTTGGGACGGGTTTATGACCCATAAATTAGGCTCCTGATGTGGAGCTGACACTAACCAAATTTCAAACATATCTTTATTCATTAAAGAGAAATTTAAAGAACAGAATTGTATTGGATTGTTTTGTACTAGTGTCTAGTGCCAAATTTGGTATAATCTAGATTCAAATTTGGTAGTATGTTGATGTGTGTAGAATTTTATCGGCAAAACTATATACCATAAAATTTTATGTAGTGCGTAAACGAGTGTTAATTTGACGTAGAAATTATGAAAAGTATCATTTCACTATATTTAGGATCAAACCATTTGATAATATATTGATGTTCTATCTATTAACTCATGTCATCATTGTATAGCTCTTTTAAAACCTTTGTATTCTTGTTAAAAGGGTCGTTTAAAACCTTGCTAAGCCACCATGATTTTGCCTATAGATGATTTCGTTTAGCCACTACAACATAAAGTTAATGTGCAAATATGTCACGAGGTAGTTTATTTAAGTGGTAATCTTATTATATAAAGTATGGTTTTCAAAGTTAATAACTCACATGATTGCGACACGTGTCAAGTTTATCGATCAGATGTTGACACGTGTCGGAAAATATTTAACATTCCTTAAAAAAATAGGATCGGAAAACTAAAAAAAAAAAATTTACATGTACTTATTTATATGTCTATATTTTAAAAAATTTAACTTTTGTTTTCCTTAACCAAAAGAAAAACTAACAATTTTTATATGTCTATATTTTAAAAAAATTAACTTTTGTTTTCCTTAACCAAAAGAAAAACTAACAATTTCTTTAAATATGTTATTGATCAATTAATTAGTATGTATTCTTTTAGGTTTTCTTTATTTATTTATTTTAACTCATTTAAAATTAGTTTAACATGAGGTAAATTAACTTATTAGATTAAAACATATAGGAAATATATATTTTAACAATGTTTGTTTTAGTTATGGTTTTTTTATTATTTATTTTTTCTATTAACTAAGATATAGATTTAAAATGATTTAGATATTATTTTAATAGAAATTTTTTAACATTTATCCATTACGTTGGAGTGTGTAGAATAAAATTCAGTTTATTATGATGAAATAGATAGTTGAAGTGTATCTCAAAAATTGAATGTGTAAGATTGAATTTTAGTTTAAAACAAAAATTACAAAATTAAATATTTGAAAAGGTTTAGTGAGTACTATGCAAAATTGACATTTATTTCTTACACCCGCCTATTTAGGCGGGCCTTATCTAGTAGATCATGATGAAATAGATTGAATTGTTTTTTTATAATATTAACTTTTTCATATTAGTGTATTAGATAATATTTTGGATATATGGTGATGAATGATGCACTTTGGACAATTCTTTGACATATGAATTATGAATCACTTTACTATATTTCTTTAGTATTGAAATGTGTTTATATTGATGATCTATCAATCTACTGATTCATGTCATTATGTTGGTCGTTTAAAACCTTCTTTTATGTTAAAAGGGTCGTTTAAAACCACGCTTAACACCATGATTTGCCTATTAATGATTTCGTTTAGCCACTAAAACATAAAGTTTATGTGAAAATACGTCACAAGGTAGTCTACTAAAGTGGTAATAGATGAATTAGATTGAATTACTTTTATAATATAACTTTTTCATAAACTATTAGGCAAAAAAATTGGATATATGGTGGTGACTGGTGAGTGATGATGCTCTTTCGACTAGTATTTGACTATACACTTTTAGTCCACGAATTATAAATCCACACGTTGCAAATCCCATAACCTCTCTCTCTATCTCTCACTTTCTACCAAATTTAGCTCTTTAAATATTTCTCTCATTCTTTGCTTCTTTGTTACTTCAACACATTTTCTTACTCTCACAAATCTCACACACAGAGTAAACTAAACTCAAAAAAGCTATGAACAAACAATGTTTGAAGAGACTTCAGTTCCGGAGATGGGGAAAGCGAATCGGAAGCTCAACAGCGGCTTCAGGGACACTAGGAAACTCAGAGGAAAGAACGATTGTGGCGTTTGCGTTCTCATGTTGTGGAAAATCGCGTGTTCTTGTGAAACAGTTTGTTTGGAGGCTTAAATCGCGTTTGAGGTGGTCGCGGAAGAGTGACCATAATAATATTCAGTGTAGTTATGATCTTCGGAGTTATCATCTTAACTTCGACGACGGTTGGTCTCGACGACGGTGATTTTAAATAAATAGACGTTATTATTATTGTCTATATACAGAGCCATTTTCTTTTTCATATTTTGTATGTAAATTACATTCTCAATCTGAACAATATTTTGAACTTTTTTGTGTTTTCTTGCATACAAAATTGCAAGATCTTGATATTTCTATTCATAGGCTTTAATTTTTGATCCAAATACAAATACTTGTCAAAGTGAAATTATTGCTGTCATCTGATTATTAATGAAGTAATCAAATCAGCTACTTAACATTAATAAATATCTCCACAGTGTTTCTAGTTACCACTCAATACACAATTTGGCTAGGGAAAACTCATATTATTGATTTATGGAACCAAACTGAATTAGCCGAATTTATATACCATAGAAAAATATCTGAATAAATTGGTTAGTTCAATTATGAGGTTTCCCTGCCTCGAATTTTATGGAGCTAAACTCGAATTTTATGGAACCAAACTGAAATAACCAAATTAATTAAAATTTATTGTTGGATAAATATGTCCTAGAAACTTGAAAAAAATCGGAAAGACATTGATTAACGATTGATTTACTGTAGTTATCAAAGCTTTCTTAAGTTGTCGATTGAAGTATGGTGATCATGGCGAAATCTTTCGTAAGACGACCGTCTAAAGTGACCATGTCGAAATCTTTAGATCTTTTATAGAATAAAGATCCCAAATGCAACCACCTACAAATGAGGGATTATAGCCTACATAATAAGAAAATGTAATCATTAATTTTTTTTTTGTTTAAATGTGAAATTTATAAATCAGAGGATAAAAGAGTGTATCTAAAAAGGAGAAAAACTGTAAGTAGAATACGCTAAAAGCATGTTAAAACAAAAACAAAGCATGTCTCCTGAGAGCATATGCAAGGGAGGAACACTTGGTGTGTTTTTAAGGGTTTTAAAATAATAAAAATGTTGAATAGTGGATACAACTGTTCTTAAAATTATAAAAACTGTTCTTCAGGAAGAACAGTTTGCAGGATAAGTTAGAACTGTTCTACTACTGTTCACCTTATTTCCTATTTTTTAATTCTAAGAACACACTCAAAAGTTCCCCCCTTGCATATGGTCTGAGCGATGTAAGGATAGGCAACGGCGGAGCAAGTAATTAAAGCGATGTGATCCCATCATCTATAGCTTTAGTGATGAGTTGTGTCAGATTGCTTGCCAACTCTAACAAGAAATCTGATTTTCTTCATGATAGAGGAATGATTACCGCAAAAAAATCTCAACAATGTACCAGAATTAGGGTTGGACACACAATATAACAAAAAAAAAATTATAGAACTTAGACAGACACGAAACAGTAACCTAAAAACATAAGAAGTTGTACTCTTGCCACTTCACAAAGATAACAATCGAAATTTTAACCTCGCAACATTGGATCTTCGTAACCTCGTGTTAAGGGAGAAAATGGGCCGAATACCTAAAGAAAAACCTTAAGCCCAATAGCCCAAGAATTCGAGTCTGTCCGAAAGGAAAGCATAAAGCCCAGAAAAGCGGATCCGGCCCGGCCCATTCGAAGCAACCGCCTATCAGCAGGGACACGTCATCGGGTCGAAGGGTAGATTCGACAAAACGTCTCGAAGGACGTCCTACACTGTACACTATAAGTATGGGATGTGAGGTCCTGTCACATCCATCCGCCATTGACGCTGACACGCTGAGAGTACACTAAAGTCGTCAAGCAAGCTCAGCTCGTCTCCTTCGACAGTCAGCTCGTCTCATAAAGCATACAACTCGTCACGCTCGACAACGCACTTCACCTATTCCTTTAATTTCGAGATCGTCTTTTGTAGTTCGCTTGTTCAAGTTTGTTTGGGCTCGTTTTATTAAGGAGATTCTTTTTACTTCCCTAGAGATCCAAACACCCGTATTTGTGTGATTCGTGCATCAACACCTCGGATTTTTAGATAGTTTTGGTCATCTACTAGCAAAACATTTGAACAATAGTTCATTGTAATTCAAAGCGATTTTAATCGAAATTTATTATTTTATTATATTCTCTTATGTTATTTCGTATTGTGTTGGATATTTAAGTGTACGTACATCGACGGTTATTCACGAATGTTGGATATTTAAGTGTACGTACATCGACGGTTAGTGTACGTACATCGACAGATATTCACCAACCATCACAACCTTTTGTACAAACGGTTATTATATTAAACGTACGTTAACACCGTTGATCACTATAAAACTCTGTTTCTCTTGTGTCAAAACAGAGAGAGAAGGACAGAGCACGAGAGTTTCACAAGATCAAAGATTGAAAGAATCTTTGGTGATAAACACATAAACAAAACACATAATCTCTATTTGTTTCTCTTGTATCTTAGCCTAGAACAAGAGAGAACTTTGATTGTCTTATCCTAGAAGGGATTTCGTGTAACCCAAAGCTTGAGAAGGGTCGAAATACTCTTTAAGGAAAGTGCTCACGTGCGCGATTCAATCATTTTCCAAGTTCACGTTCGTTACGTCCCGGAGTTACAACGCCTATTCACAACATATTGTCCACATACGAACATGTTAAAATTTCCTCCACCAATATTATTAGGGACCTTTATACCAAAGATCCAAAGCCTAAAAATCCCAAAGTACCGAACCACACCAACACAAATTCCCGAACCTATATTTCTAAACGTGTCTATTAGCAAAAAACTCGATATTCGCTTGGGCCTGGAATAATCGTAGTTGGGCCTGCTTTCATATGGAGACAAAACGCAACGTTTTATGTCCTTCGTCTCTCTCTCTTCTGATCTCGCCTAGTGACAGAGGAAGAAGAAGAAGAAACCTCAGCCATGGCCAATTGCTTCGCGCCACAATTAAGCTTCCCGTCCTTCACGCCACGCCACTCCAGCCCTAGAATGTCACACCAATCACCAAAACCAAGCACGAGCACCACCACAAGCATCTTCACCTCCGCAACAAAGCTACTATGGGGACCATCTCTTCCTCCAGGTTTACTTATCTCCACCGCTCGAACAGCTTGGACCACCGTGTGGCAGCTCATGATGACCCAACTCGCTCCATCTGATTCATCCGGGTCATACACCCGACCCACTTCCAAATTTCGTCTCGACCCGACCCAATTCACTTCCGCTGCTTCCTCGGAGCTCCATCTCTACGTTGGTCTTCCTTGTCCTTGGGCTCATCGAACCCTAATTGTCCGAGCTCTCAAGGGTTTAAACGACGCCGTTACAGTCTCAATCGCATCGCCTGGTCAAGATGGATCATGGGAATTCAAGGATAACAATATCCCAATCAAGGATAAAGATAAACTTATCCCGAGTTTGGATAAGGCAAACCGGTGCCGGAATCTGAAGGAAGTGTACAAATCAAGAACCGGAGGTTACGACGGGAGGTGTACTGTTCCAATGCTGTGGGATTCAAGGAAGAAAGAAGTTGTTTGTAACGAAAGCTACGATATTATCGAGTTCTTCAATTCGGGTTTAAACGAATTGGCACGAAACGCTGATTTAGATCTTTCGCCACCAGAGTTGAAAGAGATGATCCAAGATTGGAATCAGATTGTGTATCCTAAAGTTAACAATGGTGTTTACAGGTAAATTTGGAACATCATTACAATGCTTATAGTGTGTTAACAATGGCGTTTACAAGTAATCGGAATATCGAAAAAGCTATAGGAATGGTGTGAATTGTTCCACATTTGATGCGGGTTTTGCTCATAGCTTGTGTTCTTGATGCTGCAATGTGTGTTTGTTGCTAAAGTTGATGGCTTTGTTGTGTAGTGATTTGCTTGCATTGATGTTTTGAAAGGTGCGGGTTTGCGCAGAGCCAAGAAGCGTATGATGGAGCAGTGAATGAACTCTTTAGTACCTTAGATGAGATTGAGGATCACTTGAGTAGTAATAGATACTTGTGTGGAGAAAGCTTAACCTTGGCGGATGTGTGTCTCTTTACAACTCTGATTCGTTTTGATCCGGTTTACAACATTCTATTCAAATGCACCAAGAAGAAGCTTGTTGAGTACCCGAATCTCTATGGCTATTTGCGGGACATGTACCAGGTTCCTTTTCTTACTGGCTTCTCTCTAATACACAAATTCTGTGATTGGAAGTTCATTTCAAATTCTGCGTTTGTTGTTGTTGTAACAGATTCCTGGTGTTGCGGCTACTTGTGATATTTCGGCTATAATGGATGGGTACTACAAAACGCTGTTTCCGCTAAACGCAAGTGGAATTCAACCGGCTATTTCTTCATCTGGCGATCAAGAATCTCTCAGGAGACCTCATAACCGAGACTTGGTGGGTAAAGCCATGGAAGCACAACTTGCGGTTTAAGCATAGAAAACTGTACATAGCTCAAATGATAGGATGATGCAACAGCACTCAAAATTATCATACAATGTAATAAGCTTTGATCTTGTACTATTATCCTTCCCTATATATACAAGTAATTCTCATGGGAGCTCTTCTTTTAAGTTGAGATCACTTTCAAGACTTCACTTGGATACTATGATGTATATAAATAGAGAGATCTTTTAATATAAGTCATAAACAAAAGCCATAGCCGTTAGAACCTAAGTTAAGATATACACATGAGTTTGATATCACAAAAGTGAATCCAGTTTCTAAGGATAAAAGTGTCATCCTTTGATAGCTACCTATTTAATGGACCGACCGACTTTGCTTATATGCCTTGTCGGATTTTTTACAAAAAAAGGTTTTTCGATTGGAATTTTTTTGCCAATTCATTCAACAAAAAAAAAGATTGCATCACCACATATCTTCAAAAACTACCAATGTAAAGCTCTCATGCTCGCTTCTTCACATTCTTGCCTTCTGCAGCATCAACAAATTGCGTGATTTAGTTGCAAAATAGTGAAGGGCTCATGTATCTAAACCGAGATAAACATTTAACAGTCAAACTAAGGAAAAAGATTATCAATTAAAAAATCTTGTGATGATTACTCACTGCTTATCTGCTTAATGACCCGACAGAACTCGCTACCACATTGACAATGGAACGGACTCGTGGGAAACACATCTTGGTTGAATGGGACACCATAATCCTGCAGGTTAAGTCCAAAACTTCTCAGACAGAACCACAAAAAAAAAGTACTTGAACCCGAACTAGTGAATTTTCTAAAAGAAACAAATCTATTAAGAGTGGGTGGAGAAACTTCTAACACACCCAGGTAAGTTCCTCCATAGCATCGATCTCTCGTGTTGTGAAGAATGCGAGCTGGAAAAAAATACAGATTAGCTAATCGGTCTATTGTTTCCACATAACAGATGAGACTTCTATAAGCAAATGATTAGAAATGAAACCAGGAACTGGGTCATACATGATAGTAGTGTAAATCAGTAGTCTCCACATGAACTGGGATCTCAATCAAATTTGCATCTAAGCATCTGCACATTACACATAGTACAGTTAGAAGAAATGAATTGAGAGGGGAACCAATTAAAAGTTTCCCAAATGAGTTTCTAAAGCTAGACTAGTCATTTGAAACTTTATAACAAACTCATTTTCAGAGTCCCGTTACCTGTGATTGATGAACCTGGAAATATTTCCATAGTGCGTTCCGTCAAAACAAAGTGCTTTGTCATCCCCTGAAATGTCTTCAGAACCCCAGTATGCATCCAATAATACCGGAGAAGTAAGCATCTCAAAGCTGCGTTGGAACAACTCTGGAAGGGTCAATATCTCTCCAGCAAACTCACAGACAAAAGCTCCTTTAGGCAGTTTTTCTAGAGTTCTGAGTCCCCAGCCTCTCCCATTGGGCGTGAAAAACACCTGATTCAAAAAAATTTTGAAAGGAACATAAACAAAATTGCAAAGAATGTTTAGTCCAAGTTAAATTGATCATAATCAGTTTCAATTCTATCAGAACTGAGATGTGTTTAGATTATCAAAAACTGAACCACTTGGCAAAAAAGGTTGGTAAGGTGAGTGTGTTTACCTGCAGCTTGTTGTGAATGCCCTGTTGGACAACTCGGTTTCCACATTTCTTCATGCAGCCACACTTGCTCCAACATTCTTTAATGGTCTTTCTCTTTAGGTGCCCCTTGCACGGTTGCAGGATTACTTCTTTTTTAGCTTTCTCTAAAGGGCATTCTTTGCAATACTGTACCATATGCTTCCGCGGATCACGGGCCTCAGAGATACACTGTTCCAGAAAATCATTCTGTAAGAGGCCATCTACAGTGTATGCAAAGCCATTAAATGCAGTTGCACAACTGCATGCCATTGACGGAGCCAAGCAATCTCCACAGCAAGAGGAGCAGCATTGGTCATCCCTGATATTCCCAAGCGAAAACTTCACTGCAGCATCTTGATACACAAGACTTTGGGCTATGTAACGGAAAACTGGAGGAACCTTGTCGTTGACCTCATTCACCCAAGGAATCTCAACAGTTTCTTTCCCTAGAGTGATGTCCCCGAAGCTGCTTATCAATCTCCACTCATCCGCAGAAAGTTGGCATTCAGGAACAACTACCAAACCCATGGAATCATCAACTGCAGCGTTTTCAACATCACGCATATGATCATTACTGCCCTGAGAAGTAAAAGCCATCCTTGCTGCAGATTTCTTCAATGCATCAATGTTTGCTGTGACAAACGGCAAGTTTTTTGGCAACTGGTTAGCTGTATCTTTCCCCTTTGTTGCCAGGTCCATGTAGCAGCTACAGATGTCGTTCATAAAACCAAGCACAGAAAAGTTGGGGTCCAGTATTTTGTATGATCGAAGACACTTCTCCTCCATTGCTCTTCGTAGTTCCTCCATAGAAGGTATATATAGATTTGATCCTCCAGTTGCAGGAGCAAAACTAAGATTAATCTTCACTTCGCCTGAAGCAGAAGAAGCTAATTCAAGTGCTGATGGTTCTTCTATGGTTGCAGCTAGCTTGTGCTCACTAAATCTCCCAACAGATGTAGGAAAAAGGTCATTGGTATTACCATCAGCAGTACTTACTGTTTCACCAGCCCCCTCTTCCACATGTCCATTTGTTTTCTCCATCTCAAGCATGGGAACTGAAGAGTTCTCTCGCTCTACTGAATCTACAGAAAACGTACAAGACACATATTAGTTTTGAAGAAAGTAGCTTCAACACATCATAACAACAAAATGAGCAATGCAAATAAGATTTAGTTACTACTATTTACAAACAAGTACCAGGATGAATAGAAGTGAGAGGTATATTTGTAATGGGCTCGACTTTTGGAATAATGAGCTCACCAGCATCATGGTCATTTTCAGTTGGTACAGGATGATATGGCAATAGGATCGGAGCATTTTCTTCGTCATAAGTCGAAGGCTTCTCTAAAGTCGGACTGCCCAAGCTAGGGCTTGTCAAAGCAGAGCCTCCTTCACCTCTGCGCCGCAGCCTCTTTAGAGGGCGATCAGACTCGCCCAACACAGCATCATCGTCTTCCTCGATAGACTGACATTACACAACAGAAACTGAATAAATGCAAGAACATGAAGAAACATTACTCTAACACAGCAAAGATATTCAGTTTGCATACTTCATGGAGCTTCTTCTTTCCTCTGTCAACTTCTGTGGACTGAAAGATTGGATCAACAACAAAGCGAAGCATGGATAACAAAGCGGTAAAAAAATACAATAGTTGAACTAATAAATAGAAGTTTGTGAGGAAAGAACATACACAGCCTTCATCCTCTTTAGCTTCGTCAGCTTTCTTTCCGTTGCTTTCTTGAAGAGCCTTCATATGGTAAATCAATATGGAATGTCAAGGTAAATAAAAAGACAATGCTATAACCACAGATATATAAAAAAAAAATCGTAGATCAAAGAGATAACAAAGATACCTGAGCTTCTTCACTCTCGAAGATAGCATCAGCAAGAACCCTGTAATTGTCTTCAGCAATTAACTCCCAGTTTTTATCGTAAAGGGTAAGAAGGTTTTTCAAGACCGGCTTCACTTGCGCATCCTTTATTCCCAGAGCCTTCATAGCCATAAATGCTTTCTTGATATGCGGATTAGGTGCCATCGTTGTTTCTGCAACAACAAACAAAAATTGATTTAGTGAAACAAATTGTAACTTCTCATTTGCCTCATCCTATCAACTGCGAAAGGAACAAGATATGAAGAGCCAGAACTCAAAACGATACAACATTAAGCAAAGACAGACCTAAAGCAAATCAACAACATTACAAACCAAGAAACTAGACATCTACATAGCAGCAAATACAAACCACAAGTAGCAGAAAATACTCAGAAATTGAACATCCTAAGAAAGTTGAAACCTTTCCTCTTGAGAAACACTAACCGCACAAAGAAACCCTAATAAAACGTTGTTTTCTTTTCCCGAGAACTAATCAATAGCGTTTTCCGATCATGAGACTCAAAAAGGAGAAGACTTTCGTCGGAAAATTAGGAGAACTTACTAATTTCGCGAGAGGGTTAGGGTTTAAAAGAAGCTCGGTACAGCGAAAGGACTCAGAGGATTTTGACTACTTAGTAGAGAGAATCGTGGCCGTGAGAAAGCGAATGAGAACGGAGTAAAGACAATGTCGGCGTCGACGGCAGAGTATTACGTCGGCGCGTGAGTACACGCGAGGACAGTGCCAGGTGAAACTTCGATTCTTTCTTGTTCGACTGTGACTTTCTGTTGACCCTCTCTCTTTGTTCTTCTTCTCTGCTTAATGGGCCGGGCTTAACTGGTTCGGGTCAACCCTGCATGGCCGAATATGGCCGTAAAACGATTAGAGTTTGATGATAAGCTCAAGAGCCTATCGAAGTTGAAATGACAAGAAAGAAAAAGGGAGGGATAGATATGCGCGTCGTTGACGGAGAGGAGATAAAGAGAGATTTAGAAATAGGTTATTGTTTATTCATTGGTTGAGGATGTTCTAATCGAGATATTCTCTTAAATACAATCTAATTTAAGATAAGACGATAATATTTAAACATATAATTATTTAAAACTAAAGCTTCTTTTTTATTCAGAGTCTTTTCGCATACTTAACCTCTTTTAATGAACTTCTATTCCACGGAACTCTTGCGTTGGTCTAGTCTTTCTCCTACTTGTTCTGATATTTATTCTCATAAAAACCAATGGAATCCTCAATCTATCAGTACTACCTCGTAGAAAATTCAAAATCGAGAAACTGGTGGATCAAGGCCGAAAGAGGTTCCCATGGTGGATCTACCTCCGGCAATCGTGTCCACTGTGCCAACACTTCTGCTCCTTTTCCTTTTGCATATTTTCTGATGTTTAAGAGCTTTTCCGGTTCTGCAGTCCATTCCATTGATGGTGTCGAAATCTTACACAGTTCCTGTGGAGTTTAAGAGAAGGAACTGCTAACTTGAGCTGTGACGCATAAAAAACGGGGTGAATGTGACTCTGCGGAAGCAGCTGCAGCTTGTATGCTACTCTCCCAATGCGAGATATGATCTAATATGGCCCGAAATACCTTTGAGACAACTTCTCATTCTTCCTTAGAGCCACTGATCTTTGCTGATATGGTCTCAACTTCAGATATACCCATTCTCCTACTGAGTACTCCACATCCATGTGATGCTTGTTAGTTGCCTTCTGCATTTTGATTTGAGGTACTTCCAAATTTTCTCTTAACTCTCCTATGTTATCCACGTCCTTAAGCAGTTCTTCCACATGAGCGTTAGGAGTTGGAGTATCACCTCACCTTAGCATATGTGGCGCCTCTCTCTCATAGACAACAAAGAACGAAGTTGTCTTGATGGAGGAATGGTAGGAGGAGTTGTACCAGAGCTCCGCCCACGAAAGCCAATTTATCCACGACGATGGTCTTCAACTAGTAAGGCATCTTAAGTAAGTTTCAAGGCATCTATTGACCACGTCAGTCTGTGGATGATATGAAGTGCTTTTGTGCAATGCAGAACCATGCAGTTTGAAGAGTTCTGACCAAAAGTTGCTCAACAAATCTTGTCCCAGTCAGACACCATAGGAGCCGAAAACCCATGAAGTTTGACAACTTCTCTGATGAAGGCCTCTGTTACAGTCTTGGCAGTGAATGGGTGTTTCCAGGGTATGAAGTTGATGTATTTGTTGAGCCTATCCACCACTACCAAGATGGAGTTGAATCCGTTTGATGTAGGAAAACCCTCCACGAAATCAAGACTGATATCGGTCCAGATTTGCTAAGGAATTGAGAGTGGTGACAACAATCCTACAGGAGACAACGTCGCATACTTATTCTCTTGACATACGTGGCAGCATGTGATGAACTTCACTACATCCTTGCGCATACCCCTCCAATAAACTTCCTGAGTAAGCCTCTTGATGGTTGTAAGGGCACCTTCATGACCTTTCATGGCACTTGCATGAAATTGCTCAAGAAGATTTGGTATGAAGGAAGATCCTGATGGAATTACCAAGCAACCTTTCCTGTATAACATTCCATGAGCCAGTGAGAAATCCATAATTGTCAAGGATCCTTTTTCTAACTTCATGACTATCTACACATACTCTTTATATGCCATGATCTTTTGTCGGGTAAAGGGCTGGCAAAAGCTAACGGAGTAGAGTCTCGGCCATCACGGCTAGGTCCGTAGATCTAGTTATGTAGTATCTTGTTTACCACTTTTCTTAGGTAAAACATCTCTTTTTCGACATTTTCGACTCTAGAGTCTATTGTGAGAGCTGTTGGTTGATTTTCGGAAGGAGGTGACATGAGTTCTGGCGAATCAGAATGAGAATCGGAAACTACAGCTTTAGAAGCAGCTGGAGCCATTGCACTCTCAATGAAAACACCAATGATAAGCGCAAGAGCATGTCGAAGTCGAAATGACAAGAAATAAATAGGGAGAAATAGATATGCACCGTTGTAGGTTATTGATACCCTTTTAAAAACAATCCTACTTAAGAGAAAACGACAATACTTAAACATATAATTACTTAAAAGTAAAGCTTCCTTTCGATTCAGAATCTTTCCTCATACTTAGCCACTTTTAATGAATTTCTCTCCACGGATTCTTGCATTAGTCTAGCCTTTCTCCCATTTTTCTGACCTTTTTCTTCATACAAGCCAATAGAATTCTCAATCTATCAGAGTTTTATATAAATGGAAACTCAAACTATCAAGATTTGTTTTTCACAATTCTAATTTCTAAACCCTCCTTCTGAGTTCAAATATTAAACAACTAGAGCTCTTCTTGTAAGTGAATTTATTGAAAAAACTAGAATATAGTTAAGAGATGTTCATATTATAAATTGTAAAACTATTCGTTTTAGAAAAAAGAAGAAAAAAGTCCCTAAATAGGAAAACTAGAAGAAGTAGTCTCCGGCATCAGCGTTAAGAAATAGTTTCATGAATCGTTTTCTTATGTAATCAAAAAATAACATGATGAATTAGGCTATATTTCATAAAAACATCTAATAACAAAACACTCACATATCTTCTAATACACTTGCTACATTATTTCTTTCTTTTTGTAGCCTTAATGATTTTAAACACCGTCATAGAGTTGTTCGGAAACACCTCTACTTATTCGAGTGATCATGACCATTTTTTGCTGTAGCAAAGGGTTTTTTTTTTTTTTTACGGAGCGAATGTAAAATTTTATTTAAACATATGCCTTTTTTACATAGTAATAATTACGATACAAAAGCAAAGGTTTGACCCTCACCAACTCAAAAAAATATCATATAGAATGTGAAATCTAAATTTCTGCAAAAACAATAATGCTTATCATTAACTCAAAACGATCATACTGATGATATCTTTTGTAATTAATTGACAAAAATACACAAGTTTATTATTATTCACTCCACGATTATGTTTTGAAACTATGGAAACTCAATTAACGATCATGCTTTTATTGGAAAAATCGAATCGATCATTTACATTTACACAATCTCTAAGACTTTATTCTCCTTCTCGTTTCAGCCTACAATTTATCTCAAATCATCAAAATATAGTATCTTAGTGCCATGAACCAAAAAAAAACATATCGCGTACTACCGGCAAAACCATCCACAAAAGGTATATTTTCTTCAATGAGATATTTAATGTCCTAAAACAAGCTCCAAAATCAGACAATAAAGTCAGATTCAATGGCATTAAAGGGTTATTCACTGAATTTCAACAACAAAAAAGGTAACAGTAATCATTTTTTTGATACTGTAATACATAATCTCCCAAAACAAAATCTATATAATAAACAATTGTCATCTCAAAGTTTCTTTCTTTGAATCTTAACCTTGAAGCAATATCCAAAGAAAAGTATACTCCTTTATTTTTCATGGTTTCATACTACAAAACCAGCTCTTATTTCTCAAATCCCATTAGATTTTTTTGTCTTTAAACGACAAAAATATAAAATAAAACAACACAAACTTTATGCAGAAACTAATAAAAGATTTTCAAGAAAAACAAAAATTGTAAATCTCTCTCTCGTTCTCAATTATGAAACTCATCTATCAATTCTTCATCTTCTGGTTCTTCTTACCATTCTTTGTAATCTCCGGTGATGATGATAATAAAAATCTCATCTTTAAAGGTTGTGCAAATCAGAAATTTCCAGACCCAACTGGTGTTTTTTCTCAGAATCTCAAAAACTTATTCACTTCTTTAGTTTCTCAATCAGCACAAAGCTCTTACGCCTCCGTAACCTCCGGGACTGACAACACAACCGCCGTGATCGGTGTTTTTCAGTGTCGTGGCGATCTCCACAACGCTGAGTGTTACGATTGCGTTTCTAAAATCCCTAAACTCGTTTCTAAACTCTGCGGTGGCGGCGGAGATGATGGTAATGTGGTGGTAGCTGCTCGTGTGCAGCTCGCCGGATGTTATCTCCGGTATGAAATCTCAGGGTTCCGACAAACTTCTGGTACGGAGATGTTGTTTCGTATCTGCGGGAAAAAAGATTCTAGCGATCCTGGGTTTGTCGGGAAGAGAGAGACGGCGTTTGGTATGGCGGAGAACGGCGTGAAAACTGGATCATCCGGTGGCGGTGGTGGTGGTGGTGGAGGAGGGTTTTACGCGGGGCAATATGAGTCGGTGTATGTGTTGGGACAGTGTGAGGGTAGTTTGGGAAATTCAGATTGTGGAGAATGTGTGAAAGATGGATTTGAGAAAGCAAAGAGTGAGTGTGGAGATTCGAACTCGGGACAAGTTTATCTTCTTAAGTGCTACGTTAGCTATAGTTACTACTCTCATGGTGTTGTTCCCAACAAGATAGAACCAATTTCAGGTAAACAAAAATTAATGTCAATATTATATGTTTCTTTTAATATAATATTAGATTTGAAAGTCTCATATTATACAATTCAGAAAGATGATTATAAAAGTAGTTATATCCTATTAGAGATTTTTAATCATGGTCTAATTGGTAACATAAAACGGTAAAATAAATACTTTAGCGCAAGAGAATAATAAAATAATGGTCCAATAGTTAATATAGTAGTGGTATGAAAATAGTTGGTATTATTGTTTTCGGTAAGTAATACCGATAATATCGTTTTTGTGTATAGTTTTATTTTCATTGAATCGTTTTGTCTATATTGATTGGTAACTATTTTAGGGGCATAGTTTTTTACTACTATGGTAAAGGGTTACTAGTCAAATCCTAGTTTTAGTTTTATGCTTTAATCATTGTATTTAGTGGTGTAGATTTAGTACTCAAATCCTAATAATTAGGTGATAGTACATACACATGAATCTCGTATAAGAATGTTTACATCTTTATGTAGTTTCGTTGTCAAGTACATTAAACAAAAACTAATGGAGACAAGACGATAACAAAGAGCTTAGTGGAAGAAGATATTAAAACCAAAAAACTAGTGGGAAATAGATTACTTTATAATAGAAAAGAACAGATTTTTTTCCAAATTTTAGAATGTTGACACATCATTTAGGTTTCAGGTTACATGTGAGTGAGGCTTACAAAATTTGTTTTTTAATAAATTAATTTTGTGTGAAAAAGTAATTATAATGGGTGTTTTGACAAAAAAGAATTATAATGGGTGTTTGTGTCATTGTGTGTGTAGGTGGAGAGAAGAGACAACACACAGAAAGGACGATAGCTTTGGCGGTGGGAGGAGTTTTTGTTTTAGGGTTTGTGATTGTTTGCTTGTTGGTTTTGAGATCTGCCATGAAGAAGAAGAGTAAATATGATGCTTATTGAGTTTTTTACCTACCAATTCTTATTTACTCAATAATAAAAGTTGACAATTTTTTTAGGAGATAAACTAGAACAATGAATAGTCTGTCCAATTGTATATTCAACTATGATATTTATTTAAAATTATTTGCATATGACCAAAAGTTGCATGAGATTTTTTTTTTTTTTAAATAGCAATGCAATTTATTATATACTCTCTATGTTTCAAAATACTTCATGTTTCAGGTAAATCATTTTGTTTCAAATTAAGTGACGTTTTCACTTTTTTAATGCAAAATTTATTGGTATTTTTAAAAAAATGTTTTTACCATTTGTATTCACTATTTTGTTTTATCATTGGATGAAATTGTATTTAGGTAAATTATAAAAGATGTTTTTTAGAAAAAAAAATTAAATTGTTTTTTAATTTATTTGCAAAAATCTTAAACGTCAAATATTTTGAAACATATGAAGTAGTTCTGTAAGAAACTAGTGTTTTCAGCAACAATTTAACAAATGGTGAAATTGGAATAATGAAGTATTAATTTTGTCATTTAATTAATTAATTATTATTATTTTTTTTGTCTATTTGTCACTCAGTATCTAATTTCTCTTTCAAATCTTTTCATTTATTTAAATGACCATTGAAGGAAGAAAGAGATTCCTCAACTTACTGATTATTACTTGTTCTATTTCCAATGATTTAGATCAGATAAAAAAAAAAAGCATATCCACAATTGAAAAATAAGAAAAAAGTAAAATGAAGCATCAAAATAGAAAATTGATTAAAAAGAGAAATACTCAACAAGAAGTTAAAGCAGCTTTTTTTAGTGAAACAATACAAGATGTACGTGACTCCTCAATTTCTCGATAAATCTTAGTTTCAGTCGTTTTCATTGGGAAAGAGTGAAGCTTTATTGGTAGCACACTTTGGAAGCTTGGAGTTAGTGAGATTCACTGTATCCAACTATACTTTTCACTACATCTATAAAATTCTATCAATAGCATATAAAGTGATCGTGATACTATTTCAAAAATATGCACAATTATGGTAAAAACCATATACATGAGATTGAAACCCTGATTGATTTCAATATTTGCAAGGCATAAAGACATCGAACATCAATGACCGTTCTTTTACTCTATACTCTGTACTCAGTGCCGGTCCAATGTTTCTGAAGGCCCTAATCTAACTCAAAAAAAAAAATTTCCCCTTTCAAAATACTAAAACTCATACGTAATATCCATTGTTTTCTCCAACTTCAAGTGAAAGAAACAAAAGTGTTAAAATACAAAAAGAAAACATAAAACAGCAAAACCAAACAAAAACATGAACCAAAAGATAGAAGAGAGGATACATAAGTTTCAACTACGATTTTCTTTTTCTTAATTACCAAACAATCTCTCGTAATTCACTATGGAATCGAAATTAATAGAAGTTTTTCTTACAATTGTAAGTTTGTAATGAATGAGTAGGTAATTTTTTTGAAAGGAAACCCTGCAAAGCGCTATCGAGGAAGATGAATCGATCATTTTTAGTTATTAAAAAAAGATGAAAACTAAAAAAAAAAAAACAATCTGGGCCAAAAAATTTTGGGCCCTAAGCGACCGCTTATGTCGCTTACGTCAAGGGCCGGCCCTGTCTGTACTACCACCACTTTCTGAATACTGAATTTTGGTTAAGTTAGATTCTGAACATGATTTCCAAAACCAAGAGGAGACATGATAAACATCACATGTTCAGGGATCTTTGAACCTAGAAATAAGGTTAAATATCTTCTTTTAGCTTAAACCGTTAAACGTAACAAAGACATAACAACTTGGCAATCACATAAAACATATCAGAAGGAACTAGAAGATGACTACCATCAAGGGTTTTGGTAGTCTATCAAAGGTAGAGAGCAATTCAAATGAAGCGAAAATCAACCATATAAACAAGCTTCAAAACTCTAGAGCATTGAATACGCTTCAACCATCACTTTCAATACTGACGTTTGGTTAAGTTAGATCCTGAACATGATTTCCGAAACCAAGAGTAGACATGACACACATCATCTTACATATAGATCTCTATACCAAAAAAGAAGTTAACAAGTCTCTTTCACCTTAAGCACTTTAATGAAACAAACAGACGATGATGATGATGCAGAGAAAGTTTCTAGATTCATAGCATTTGTAATAAAGATGAGACTGGGCATATACGCAGCTATCAGAAATTTCACTCATGATACCAGGCGCGAGGAGCCTGTTTAAGACCTCAGACCTGTGAGAAGTATTGATTACTCGACTAAAAGGAGAGGAACCCCATCAAACATATGATAAGTAAACTAACCCAAACTTGTATAAAACTATAACTCCATAACTCAAGTACCATGAACAAGAAGATGACCACACAATCAACGGTTTTAGTAGTCTATTAAAGGTTAAGCGATTCATAGAAAGTGACAATCAACTTCATTGCCTAAAGATGCTAAATTGAACTAACTTATTGCAATAGAAACAATTTCAATTGGATGATGAATCAGAGAAACCAGAATTATAGATAACCAAACCAATCTCAAGATAATTATAAAACAACCAAAGCTTTAAACTTTGAATCCAACGATGTGAAGTAAAGCACTCTTATACGAAATTCAAATTCCAAAAAACACCATATAACAAAAAAAAACTCGTACAACAGAGAACCCTAATCCATCCATAATAGGGATTCTTACAATCCCCTTTGCATTGGAGATGGTGGAGCTCCGAGGAGACTGGCATTTTGAAGCTCAATTTCGTTGATTTGTGCCTCGCGATCCATCTCAATGATCAATGGAACAACAAGGATGAGAAAAGTTGTTCCAGCGATCCACGCTGCTTTTCCGGTGCTCCTTAGCAGTTTCTTTGATACTTCGACGGCATCTCCAGCGGCGCGTCTTCCTTGAGACACGATCTCGGAGTTTGAAATCCTTGCTAAGATGTTTGGATCTCCGCCGCCAGATTTACCGGCGCCGATTCTCTTCGCCGCCATTGATTGATAAGAAGTGTTTTTTTTTTTTTTTTGGTTATAACTTTCTGAATCGCTTAATCGCTTCAGAGAGTCAGAGGATTGTAACGAGGGTTTCTATCAATAGGCGGATTTTTGTTTACAATGATTGGGCCATAAAAGCCCATTAATATAGCCAGCCCAATGATTGAGCCATAAAGCCCAATAATAATCACTGCAATGTGTTGTGACAAAGACACATTTTTTTTTTTTTTTTTTTTTGATAAACCCTATCGGCTATCCGGTCGGCCCCGGTAGGAACACACCGAGGTGCTACATAGTGGACTGGTCCACCGTGTTAACGGCTAGGCCCTTCGGGCTACCACTCTGCCTATCCCGAGTTTGGAATGCAAAGGCACATTTCTATAACTCAACAACAGATGATTACAAATACACATCTAACAATGTGTGTTGTGACATCTCAAAACAAATGTACTGTACTTCTTATGATAGTACATAAGTTTAACATTATCATAGGACAAATAGATGATCTAAACTAAATGCAAAGAAGAAAGAGAGGGAGGAGGAAATCTCAAATTTTAAGAGTTTTGGGTTATTTTATTACGACCTCAAAACTTATGTCGTTGAATTCATGAGATGAGAGAAGAAAAAAAAAGATAAATTACCGTAAAAGAGTTTTGTGGTTATTTTGATAACTTCAAAACCTTTCGGGGTTAAAATCTAGGCAGAAAGGATGATAAAACATGCATACCTTAAAAATTTAAAATTGTGTGGTTTCTTTAGTAATGTCAAAAGTCAAAACCTCTGAGGTTAAAATCATGAGTAAAAAGAAGATAAAGACCCATATTGTTATCATAAACGTTCAGGGTTATTTTAGTACAAATTCAAAACTTATGGGGCAAATCAAAGAGAAAAAGAAAGAAAAGATACATTTATATCAAAAAAGGAATAAAGAGCGCCTCCTCATAATTTCCTTACCCTATCTCTATTGCTTCACAAAAACCCTTATAGATCTATACTCTCTCCATTTCCTTTTTCTCTGTAAACCCCTTTATAAATCTCACTTCTTCTTCTTCGTCAATCCTTCTTCAGATCTCTTCTTCTTCTTCAATTTCAATAGAGAGATACTACTCTCTTCTTCTGTTTCTTGTGTGTGAAGTTCTTCTGATTGATTTCGTGTTCTTGGGAACCTTTTTACCGATTCGATCTTCTTCGGATCTTAGGGTTTTGTTCAAATCCAGATCTTGGGTTTTGTTAAATAATGGCGACTCCTTATCCTGGAGCGACGCAGGCGAGTTTTCATTTCGAAAAATTGATTCTTTCGATACTATTACTGGTTTCGTGACTAAGTGATTGAATCGGTGTTTTATGTGTTGTAGGTGGGTTCTTACTTTGTTGGGCAGTATTATCAAGTGTTGCAGCAGCAACCAGATCTTATTCATCAGTTTTATTCTGAGCCTAGTAGAGCTATTCGTATCGATGGTGATTCCACCGAGACTGCTAATACTTTACTGGTAAACTAATCTTGCTTTCAAGATCCAATCTTTTACTCAATTCATTAGGTTCTAGAGGATTAGTGGAACTTAAGTTGATAAAGATTTGTGCTTTACTTAATTTAGTGAAAGTCATTGATTTTGCAATTTTTTGTATGTGATTGTAGCATATTCATAACATGGTTATGTCACTGAACTTCACTGCGATTGAAGTGAAGACGATCAATTCAGTCGAGTCGTGGGAAGGTGGTGTTCTTGTGGTGGTTTCAGGCTCTGTGAAAACAAAGGAATTTACCAACAGAAGGAGTTTTGTGCAGACCTTTTTTCTCGCTCCACAGGAAAAGGGTTATTTTGTTCTCAATGATATATTTCAGTTTGTTGATGAGGGAACTGTTTACTATCATCAGCCTTCTTATTTATCTGAAACCAAGCATGAGGCTCAGCTTAATCCTCCAAGCCATCATCCAGAACCCCAAGGTTTGTTTGTCATGTTTTGTTTGACAGATTCAGTGTGGTGAATATGTTTGCTTTTATGTTAAATTTAAAATTGATATCACTGGTTTTTACTTTTCAGTTCCTGACTATGTTCTGGAGGAAGAGGCAAGAGATTATGTGAACGCAGTCCAAATCAAAGATGATCTTGTCGATAAGTACAGTCTGCAAGAGGACCAACATCAACCTCAGCATGAAGTCTATGAAGATGAAGTTGCGATAGAGGAAACACCTAGGGAAGAAGTTGCAGTTGATGTGGTACATGAACATCTGGCTGCACCAGCAGAGGAACCCGTTGTTGAAAAATCAAAGATGAGTTATGCTTCCATTGTAAGTGCACACTCTCTATTGTCATTTTTAGTTGTTCAGTATAGTAATAAAACAACATATATATTGAAATAAAAGAACTCTGGAAGCACAAATCTTGCTGTGTTCATTTATATTTGTGTCATGGGAATCGGTCAATAGTAGACGTAGACTTTCTGTAAAAAGATAATGGTTAGACATGGGGATTACAGTCTCGTATCATGATCTGTACAGATCATGATGAATAACCATGATTCGGGCTTGTCATTTGTACCTAACTTTAGTTGTCTCATTTGAGTTATAGAAAATTATCTTTTTAATTGGAGATGTGCTGATTCTCTTTCTCTCAGTTAAAGGTTGCAAAGGAAGCAGCAACTGTACCTGTAGTTGCTACACAACCATCATATAACAAGAACTCTCAAGATATTAATGAATGGGATCAACCAATGCGGACTCCTTCCCCTCAGCTGGCTGCGCCTCTTGCCTCTGTTCAGCAATCAAACGCTTCATCCACGTATGTTTCTGACTATGGAGCAGAGGCAGAAGATGGCTCCGGATTTGAAGACTGTAAGTTTTTTTATATCTTGGACAAGTAAAAGTTGCATCTTAGTGCACTGCTATGTGATTTTATTTGTCATTTGGTATTGTATATTCATTTTTTTCTGGTTTGCCTTGTTTCAGTTGAGTTCAAATCAGTGTACGTTAGGAATTTGCCGTCCGACATATCTGCTTCTGAAATCGAGGAAGAGTTTAAGAACTTTGGTACAATCAAGCCTGATGGTGTGTTCCTCAGAACCCGCAAGGTAAATATCTTCATAACTTTTTTTTTTCTTACTTTTTCTTTATGTTTGTCTTGAGTGATATAAAAAGCCAAAACTAACAATCTTACTGCAACCAAACATGCAGGATGTTATGGGCGTTTGTTATGCATTTGTTGAGTTTGAGGACATGACTTCCGTTGAGAATGCCATTAAGGTCTAGATTCTATTCCACAGTTACCTCACTAGATTAAATTTCATCTTCTGTTCTTCTTTCGCTTTGTTCTTATCGGTTTCCCTTTGTCTAATAATAAATAGGCTTCTCCTATATACTTGGGTGGAAGGCAAGTATACATTGAGGAACGAAGACCCAATCCCGCTGGTGTTCGCGGAGCAAGTAAGTCGTCTTTTGAAACCGCGCTTTATACCCAACAAATTCTTAAAACCGTCTTGTGAAAGCCTCATAAAAAAGAAAGTTTACCACATGTAACTCATACTGACTGTGAAATCTATTGACTGACCAGGACGAGGAGGAGGACGTGGAAGGGGTGGCTACCCAACAGAAGCACCAAGAGGCCGGTTTGGTGCCCGTGGGTCTGGCAGAGGAAACCAGGATGGAGGTGACTACAGACCAAGAGGCAACGGTTACTACCGCGGAGGTGGTCGTTAAGGAAAAAAAGAATCTCTTCAAAGTTTTAGTGCAACCAAGAATGAAATGATTCAGAGAAAGGATTCGGTTCTTCTTCCTTTTATCTACGGAAGAAGTAGTTTGTAATTTCTTTTTTTTTGCTGGGTTTGGTTTTTGTCTCTCAAAGAAACAAAGATTTTGGCTTATATATGCTTTTCTTTGAATTTGTTATAGATTTAGCCATTTAGGGCTTTGACTGTTACCTCCCTTTGGGAATGGTTTAGTTGTGTAACATTTCAATTTTTTGGTTTCCTTTGTTTGGGAGCTTTATGTTCAGCAGAGACATCAGCTTTTAGCTTCATATGAAAGTTATATTTTCATAAAAGTAATTTTTTTGAACAGTTTACTCGTGTTAAAAATATTGAACTTTTATTTCTTTAATTTCTTACTCGTCAAGGTAGCTCATGGTGCGACAGAACATATATTCTGTGACATATAATTCGTGTAATATTCGTGTTTTATTTACTCTGTTTTTTTCCCTGAGAAAAAAAATGGGTTGAAGAATTATCAGAAAATCGAAATATCTCGAGGATTAAAGAATTGGGACCCAACAAGGTTTTGATATATGTCGGTGTTTCATTGTAATGGTTTCGCGAACCATCGGATGATCTCAGAGAGACAGAGGGAATGTTTGGATGCAAATGTCTGTATTGGAACAATCTCAAAGAATTACCTCCATTGAAGACACCAGAAACCTTCTCTCTCCCTGCTTCTATTCCCCAGTGGCCTTCAGGTAAAATTTTATCATTCTAATTGTTCATGATTTTCAATTCTACCTTTTTCAGATCCGAATTCAATTTTCCCCCAAAGTTTCTGGATTTAGCTCATTACTTTCGATATGATTTGATCCAATCCATGTACAAGTCTTGGGAACAGTATTTTACGTTTCTAACAACTGATCTATCCATCTTCACATGTTTACCAAAAAAAAAAAAAACTGATCTATCCATAAATCGTTAAAAGGTTTTTGATACACTTATCTTGGCTTTGAATTGATTATCAGGTCAAGGCTTTGGTTCAGGAAGAATCAATCTTGGCGATTTAGAACTCGCCGAGGTCACAAGTTTTGAATTTGTATGGCGATACTGCTCTCGTCGAGACAACAAGAAGAGTGTTTCCTTCTACAAACCGGACAAATTACTCGAAGATTTCCATTGTTTAGGTCATTACTGTCAGTCTGATTCTCATCTCTTGAGAGGCTTTCTTCTTGTAGCAAGAGAAATCAAGTCTTCGGAATCGAAAGAGCCTGCGCTTGTGCAACCACTTGATTATACATTGGTCTGGAGCTCAAATGACTTATCAGAAGAATCTCAAAGCGGTTACTTCTGGCTACCGCAGCCTCCTCAAGGGTATAAACCTATCGGATATTTGGTTACAACGAGTCCCTCGAAACCAGAATTGGATCAAGTTAGATGCGTTCGAGCTGATCTAACCGATAAATGTGAAGCACATAAAGTCATCACCACCGCTATATCGGATTCTTTAAGCATTCCTTTGTTTATATGGCAAACAAGACCTTCCGACCGCGGACTGCGGGGCAAAGGAGTCTCAACAGGTACATTCTTCTGCACAACTCAGTCCCTGGAAGAAGATCATCTCCGTACAATCGCGTGTCTAAAAAACCTCGATTCGAGTTTACACGCGATGCCAAACATGGAACAAATCCATGCTTTGATTCAACACTATGGTCCAAGAGTTTACTTCCATCCTAATGAAGTCTATCTACCTTCTTCCGTCTCATGGTTCTTCAAAAACGGTGCAGTCTTATGCAACAACTCAAATTCCTCTGATATCAATGAACCTATAGACGAAACCGGCTCAAATCTACCTCACGGCGGAACCAACGATAAGCGATATTGGATCGATTTACCGATAAACGATCAACAAAGACGTGAATTCCTCAAACGAGGCAATCTCGAAAGCTCGAAGCTTTACGTTCACGTTAAGCCAGCATTTGGAGGAACGTTCACAGATCTTGCGTTTTGGATTTTTTGTCCGTTCAATGGACCAGCGACTCTGAAACTAGGGCTAATGAATCTCTCGTTAGCTAAAACTGGTCAACATGTTTGTGATTGGGAACATTTCACACTCAGAATCAGCAATTTCTCCGGCGAACTTTACTCGATTTACTTCTCACAACACAGTGGCGGTGAATGGATCAAACCTCAAGATCTTGAGTTCGTTGAAGGAAGTAACAAAGCTGTGGTTTATTCGTCGAAGCATGGTCACGCGAGCTTTTCTAAGTCTGGATTGTATTTACAAGGATCTGATTTGCTTGGAATTGGGATAAGGAATGATACAGCGAGAAGCGATTTGTTTGTTGATTCGAGTTTGAGGTATGAGATTGTGGCGGCGGAGTATCTTGGAGGAGCGGTGGTGGAACCGCCGTGGTTAGGTTATATGAGAGAGTGGGGACCGAAGATTGTGTATAATTCGAGAACGGAGATTGAGAAATTGAATGAACGATTGCCATGGAGGATGAGAACTTGGGTTGATGCTGTGTTGAGGAAGATTCCGGTGGAATTATCCGGCGAGGAAGGACCGACGGGACCTATGGAAAAGAATAATTGGTTTGGTGATGAGAGATGGTGATATTTTTGTAATGGGCTTATGAGAACTGATATATGGGCCTGGAATATTTTATTTCTCAGGCCCATATCTTATTGACTCGTGTGTTCTACGTTTCATGTTTTCTTCTCTTTTTTGCTATGATCCGTGATTCAGTGAAGTGAATATACTGTAAATTATTTGTTTAAACAATTTATTAATGAGGTTTTGGGTCTTAAATGAAATTTTATTGAGGCATAAAACAGAGAGACCACACACGATTTGAGTCCGTAGCTCTTAGGAAATGTCATTACTGATTAAAGACGAAAGTCGCAAGAACACATAGATGAAGCAGAGAGGACCATTTGGTGTTGTCATTCGCTGGTATCGAGGACACAACGAAGGCAACTACCTTCGTGCAATAGATCGAAAGCCTTATTGATCTCTCCCAAGGTCAAGTTGTGTGTTATGTATTCATCCACTTTTATCTCCTGCATCGTTCGAATTTCACGCAACAGTCAAGTGTATGAAGAGAAGAAGATAATAAGAATCATTGCTCAAGTTTGTTTAAGTTGTCTAACCTTGTTCAGATACTTTTCTACAAGCCAAGGCACTTGGGTTCGACTCTTGAAACCACCAAAGGCTGTTCCTTTCCACACACGGCCAGTCACGAGTTGGAATGGTCGAGTTGATATCTCTTGTCCTGATGCTGCTACACCCACTATAACCGAAGTTCCCCATCCCTGCAATGTCATCGTCTTTAGCTCTTAACCACATCCTCTTTTCTATAAACTTTTTAATGGTTTCTTCTTAATGTTGTACATGGATGACTTACCTTGTGACAGCACTCCAATGCAGCTCTCATCACGGATACATTCCCGATGCACTCAAAGCTGTAGTCAACACCTCCATCAGTGAGCTCGACAATCACTTCCTGAATTGGCTTGTCGTGATCCTTTGGGTTCACAAATTCATTAACACCAAACTTCTTTGCTGAAATTCCACAAACAAGGAACTCAGTGAGTTGTATAAATCATATGCGGTTAACCAATCCAGTGAAGAAAGATGAGGAGATTACCAGTTTCATACTTCTTGCTATCGATATCAATGCCAATGATCCTTGAAGCACCAGCTGTTTTCGCACCCTCAGCAACCTATCCATGGACCATTTAAAAAAAACTAACCACAAGGTTCTCTTCCATGGGAATAAGGAATCACAAAAGCTTTATAAAGGTAGTAGCTTACAGCTAGCCCCACAGTGCCAAGACCAAAAATGGCAACATTAGACCCTGGTTCAACTTTTGCAGTATTCCAAACTGCTCCAAGACCTAATAGGATGCAGATACATGATATACTGTTAGGGACCATAAAGTTCAGAAAGAAGCCAGAGTGATGATTTTAGGTTCCTATCGGAAAGAATAAAGGATGGTGAAGAACCATGTCGATCAATCTCATCAATGATATTTAAATTAACAAGCAGAATGGGTAGGCTATACTCCAAAACCGAAGAATCCCGTAAGACCTTAGTATACTACCAAACAGTGAAGATCCAAGTCAAGAGAAGTGTGTAGCTTAAGATAGTTGAATCCTTACCAGTGGGAACACCACATCCAAGAAGGCAGACTTTATCCAAAGGAGCATGAGGATCAATTTTAGCGACGCTAACATCATGAACAACAGTATACTGACTAAACGTGGAAGTACCCATGAAGTGATAAATGGGTTTTCCATTAACCGAGAACCTCGACTTACGGTCATTCATCATAATCCCAACACCAGTAGCAGATCTCACCTTGCCACAAAGGTTAGTCTTCCCAGATTTGCAAAACTTGCATTCACGACACTCAGCTTGATAACAAGGGATCACATGATCTCCAGCTTGAACTTCTGTTACACCTTCACCAACACTCTCAACAACCCTATCCCCACAAAACAAAAAACAGATTTATAGCTTTGAGGAGATCGATCTCAAAAATCAAAGAAATTGATGTTAATGAACATTATTAACATACCCAGCAGCTTCATGACCGAGGATACATGGAAAGAGACCTTCAGGATCCTGTAATCAAACATTTGGACTCAGCTCAAAATTGATTCACTAATCCACAACAAATCAGGAATTAACTATAAAGAAACTCAAATTCAGCCTCAAATTGATTCACTAATCCACAATAAATCGATTCAAATAAACCAAAAAACACTAAATCAAATCAAAGAGAACGAACCTTGCCGCTCCAAGTGTAAGCGTCGGTGTGACAAAGAGCAGTGTAGAGGATCTTGATCCGAACCTCACCGGCTTGAGGTGGAGCTACTTGCACATCTTCGATGACCATAGGCTTGTTCGGCTCGTAAGCCACCGCAGCTATGAAATCAAATCAGAAAACTCATAATCGGAGATAGGGATTTTCAAACATCGCGAGAAATTCATGTATCTAGATAGAAAACACTATAATCAGAGATGGAGAGAGAGTGATAAGGAAGATCGAGGATAAAACATACCTTTGCATGTGATAACTTGACCATGAGTCGCCATTGACGAAGGAAGAAAATTAGAGAGATAGAGGAAGAGAGAGTAGAGCAGTGTGGTGGGCACTGAGGTTGGTGTGTCGTTTCTTCTTTTTCTCATGTGCTAGAAATGTAATTATCCGAGTCGGGTCGGGTCGTTAATAATCGTGAGAGGAAAGTCCGATTTGATTTGAAGTAGGGCCCGAGATACGCTTTGGTCCAAAATTACAATAATGGATAGGCCTAAAGAAAAGATGTGGATGACGCCGGCTCATTACCCATATACAAATACAATTGGTTCCTTGATATATTTCTTCCAAAAAAGGTTTTTTTTTTTTACATACCTCTACTCTACTAATGAATTATGTTAGATTTATACACGAATTATTATTATTATTTTTTTTATAAACTCTATCGGCTGATCCAGTCAACTCCGGTAGGAATGCATCAAGGTGCTACAGAATGGAGTACTCCTGTGGTTCAACGGTTAAACGATTCAACGGATACCATGAGCTCCGAGCAGACTCGGGTCGAACGGGCCATGAGATTCATGAGATCCAGAATTGGGCCACCACACTGTCTGATCCGAGTTTGGAGTGTCTTCCGACTAATACTAGAGAGTAGTCGGGCCGCCTGCAATTCTGACTACCAGGTCAACCAATTGGACCAAGACTCAACTGATAGACTTCTCGAACAAATGTGTTTTTATTTCCAGGGAGGATCAAACTCGGGTCTGGGAGTTTCACCCTTCCCCAAAATTTTCTCTGCCACTAGACCACAGATGCTTGGTTACACGAATTATATTCCATAATAAACTTTTAACAATATTTGAGATGAATTCTCTTTCACCAAAATCGCAACTCCCTACATTCATTTATCTTTTAATTGTAACTTCTACCATTTTTATTTTATAAATAATCATTTTCTGAGTTTTCTCTATCATATCACAAATCTCAAATCTTTAATTTTACTTTGTTTCTTATTTTTCTGAATGGGTTGAAAAACAATTAGAAATAATGATGATAAGTGTTTGCTTCTAAATTTTATTTATGGAGAGTCCTCAAATCAAACTACAAAATGAAAATCAAATCATTCAATGATAAAATAATTTAAAAAACAGATGTTCAATATTATTTTTCGTTTACGACATAAGATATATTGTCCTATACAAATTGTTTTTTTCACATTAGGTTTCAGAGTTTGGCTGCTTTGGTAGGTCTTAGTTCGTCTAGATGTCTTCGTAGATTTTGATTTTAGGAGAATTGTGTCTTTGTTGGCTTCTTATGCTTGAGGACAATAGCAAAACTTTTAGGAGTGTGGTTCTTGTCGCTGGTTAAGCTCTCTCGTCGTCTAGGATGCTCTTTGCCTCCTTCTTGTAGCTGCAATGGTGTTTTTCATGTTGTGGCTTTAGCTATCGGTGGTAGCTAGTTCCCCACTCCTTTGGAGAGCTCTGCTTGTATTTCAGCTCTTTGGTATTGTTTAAGGCTTGTTCTTTCCTGTGGCTTCCTTTTGTCTTGCTTTTGTTGTGAAGATCGCTTTGCTTTGCGTGCTCGCCTTTGCCTTGTGTTCGGATTGGCTTTAGAGGAGCTAGTAGAGCTAATGACTTTTGATGTGGTGGTGAATGGTTCCTATCTTGCTCTGCGCACCTGACTTCGAGGATTGAACTTGGTTAGAGGGAGCTTGCATCTTTGGTTTTTGGCGTGTGAGGTTCTGTTTTTGGATAGCTCATGGATTGGAAGGAAGAAACGGTCTCACTTAAAGCAGGGAGAGTAAGTGATCGTAGTTTTGGAGTTTCAAACCGTTGACGGCTCGATCTCGGGCCTTCTGCGAAAGGCTTCTTAAGCTCTTGGTCAATCGCATTAAGGTGTTCCACAATCAGCAATGGCCTTTCTGCTTTTGCAAATCATTCGAGAAGGATAGATTTGAACGTCATCGCTTCATCTTCTCCCACAGCTTCATTGCAAGGTTGAGAAGATGGACCGAAAACTTGGTTTTAATTAACCGTTTTTATGTTTCCATGTTTTTATTCTTTTTGTCATGGATTCATATGTATAGGTTTCAAATTCTATGTTTGTAACCTAAACCGTTTTCATTATCAATGAAATATTTACAATTTAGCAAAAAAAATACAAAGTATCCTGAGAACGAGATCTAAGAATCTGTCTTTTGGTGAGTTGCATTTTTTTAAAACGAAATTTTGGAGATGAATATGGAGATGAGTTGGAGATAGCCTTTTTACATGCATAGAAAACAAGTCAAACGTGATATATCTTACATTTCCGTACGATAAATGTTTTCAAGTGTTTTCATGATCTCTCCTAATTTTTATTCAACTTATGGAAAATCTTGATATATCATAGTTTTTTAACCATGATATATGTATTGTTTTTAGAGTATTTTTAGTCATTTTTGTGTCTTTTCGAGTCTTTGGAGCAAAATAAAAGTATTTGGAGCATTATAGCTGAGAGGAACAGCTTGGAGCGTCTTAGAGATGTTGGTGTCGATCGACACCCTTGTGGTCCTTTACATTACGAAAATATTTGCAAATAACCCCCAAAAATATTTAGTTCTATGAAAAAGTTCTCCAAATTTCAAAAACGTTTATAATAACCCAAAAAAAATAATTGTTACTTTGGCCCCCAAATTTTCGAGACCGACCTATGATACTCTGGTAGAGGTGCACTTTCAAAGTTCCAAAAGCATCCAATTGACGCACATGTGTAATCAGTTGCATAGGACTGAAAGAAATAGATTAGAAAACGATTTATATATCGTGATCAGATACTTTTCCGTTTTTTCTCGTAACCATAAAGCTATCCCTCACAAAAAGAATGTATATCAACATGATTGGCATGTATAGCTTGGAACCTTATCGATCCAAGACATGTACAATATACACAGATCAAACATGTCTCATACTTCAAGATTCCGATTTTCGTGTCCTTCGACGATAAATTCTTGACAATTAGGACCCTGCCGCTGGGAATTAAGTTTATTTCACAATTATGTATATTTATGGAGTTGCAATCATTTTATCATTAAAAAAAAAAAAAAAGTAAAAACATGCGTTCAACCAAAATATATTTTATTCTGAAACAAATAACTAAAAAACATCGAAAACAATGATAGGAGATTGAAAGCAATGATAGCAGATTTAAAACATTTAAGCTAGTGCCACTGTCTTGTCACAACATATTGTCATAAACGCTTTTGCTGGGTTTAGCATCAATCACGAAGAAGCTTTTTGATCTTGCGGTATACGTAGTCTTCAAAAGTTAAAGACTCAAACTTGGGAGGATTCTCGTCTCCCGTGAGCTCAGGCAAAGGTCCCACGACCAAACCATGCTTAGGCTCTACCAAAACCGGCCACGACATTCTTGTCTTTTCCTTATCCATTGTTGATCTGTGTAACACGTTCTTGTACCTCCCGTTGCTCATTCTCTGCAATTCACACATTTTAAAAACCAAACCCGAAAAACATTTCCAAAGTTAAAAACCAAACACAAACGGACCATGATCTGATCCCCGAGGAGGACAATGACTGCAGAGTTGATATACTCAACGTCGAACCAGTGGTCATCCTTGAACACTTGAAGCCCTGGAACCTCGTTGGAGACAAGAAGTGCGAGTGCACAGAGATCTGTGTGCGCTGGTGCTCCGATAACTGAATCCGACGGCGGATAGTAATTGATCCTCATCAAATACTCTGCTTCATCGCCACCTAGACCTTCTTTCAAGGCCTCACACCGTAACCCTAACCCCTTTGACAAGTAACCGACAATCTTCTCCGTTAGCTTCGTCACGTTCATTGTGTACTCCTCAGTCACATCCCTAAAACCATCATCACTCCAAAATCAAACTATTATTTTTCGGCTACAGAATAATCTATATAGCGGAATCACTTTTCTAAATAACACTAAAAATGTAAGCACTTGAATGTTTTTAATGGTAAAAAATAACGGAATAAGTTTTTTACTTTATTTTTTAATGTGTATACTATTCATTACATTTATAAAACTTTGTTTGTATTATATACTTCCTCCGTTTCATAATATAAGACGTTTTGAAAAAAGTTTTTTGTTTCACAATATAAGTCGTTTTCGAGTTTAGATACAAATTATATATCTATACTATTAATTGGGAATCACTAAATAATAACAAACCTTTAAGTTGTAGAATATTACATAGAATGCCATTGATTTTTTAAAATTTGAAGAAAGAAAAAAAACATTTTTTAAATAATCAAAATAAATTAATAAAATAATAACTGCCCAATATTTTTGGAAATTGTTTAAAGAAGATTCCATAATAAATCAAGTTATTTATTTCGAAATTGTATATATATAAACTTATTTATTTTCGTAATATATTATTAGATATTTCCGGCAATCTAATTTAATGTAACAAATTATCATTTAATTTAGATTTTAATACATTTCTTTAACAAAACTATGCTAATTAATTCTGATTAGTAGTATACATGAAAAAACGATTTTAATATTTTATTTTCCAAATATGAAAAAACATTTAGTATATTTGTCATATATAATCTAAACTAAATACTTCCATCATTTAAAATATAACCTATTCAACAAATAATTTTGGATTTTAGATTCCAAATATCTAGATAATATTTCTAATATAGATTAAATTCTTTTATATTTTAATTAGAATTTAACTTATATAAATTTTGAAAAATATTTTTTAGAAATGGGTAATTTTCATAATTTTAAATATATATCACTAAACTAAATTTGAATTATATAAAAATATATATTTTTAAAACGTATTATAATAGTTACTATATCTCGAAATTATTTTATTTAGAGCCAAATAAATTAATATATCAAATCAAATAAATTATTTTATTTCGTCTCAAATTGTTACAAGCTTTTGGAATATATATTCTTCTAAATTCGATATTTTATTTTTTCAAAAAATATTAAAATATAATTTATATACCAATGTTTAAATTTTCAATGCAAATACTTCAAAATGAGAAAATATTCATTCACACCAATATTCTTATTCTTCTACTAAATTTGAATAGCTTCTTTTCTAAAAACAAACATTAATAGAATTCTTTTAATATCTCATTAATTGTATTTGAACAATCATAATCACCATATTTGCGATAATGCATAAGGATCATAGGAAATTTAATATTTTCGTCAACATAAATTTAAAATATGCAATTAAGATTAGTATTTTTCGTCATCATCGACAAATTAAAACCTAATTTCATGTACAATCTATTTCCTATAAATATTATGCATACATTCACGTCGTTGATTTTCTCACAATTAATATAAGATTATGTTATAAATACTATATAAAATAAATTTGTTTGCATCAATCTAACCTATATTAAATTTTAATCTAATAAGATTTTTTTTCTTTTGAATTTTAATTAAAAGCTGTTGACAAAAAAAAAGATTTTTTTTCTAATTAACTCTTTAATTTCAAACTCCAAAATTTGACCTATAGTTCACAACATTAGCTATTGTGTCATAAACAATATAAGTAGCATTCTACATTTTTCTGTGTATCATTATAATAATTCTACATTTTTCTGTGTACGTTATAATATATATACAACAATATTTATCACCAAAACAACAAAATATTTTATATTTGCAAAAAGTTTATTACAACACATTTTCTTAAAATATGAACCCCGCACGTACGTGCGGGTCAGGATCTAGTTACTTTAGTATTTTATGTTTATTTATATTATGGGTTTTGTGCAAAAAAACCCTCGAAGTAGCCAATTTTTGCAAGAAAACCCTCCATCTCAAATAAATGCAAGTCAATACCACCATCTCAAAAGTCACCCGCAATATAGCCCTCGCGTGTATCGATGACGTGGCAGCCGTTAACTCCGTTCCAAAACGTCACGACGAGTGAACTTTTGTGCAAAAAAACCCTCAAAGTAGCCAAGGTTTGTTTTGAAAAAGCGACTGTTGGAGAATTCGATTGTACAGGGAAGCAAAGGAAACAATATGGTAATAATCGATTTTGATATCTTCTTAAATTTCTGATCATTGGCATGATCAAAGTAAGACATGGTGGAGACATTTATAGGAGAAGGAAAAATCTAGGGTTTAACAGAAGAATTCTGTAAATTTACATAAGTTTTCTGTAAAACCAGAAAATCTTCTGTAAAAGCCCAAATTCGTCGCAAAAGAGACAAAATATTTTGTAAGGCTCAGAGCCTCGAAAAACGTGCAAGCCACGAAATCAACTTCTGTAAGACTCAGAGCTTCGAAAAACGTGCAAGCCACGAAATCAACTTCTGTAAGACTCAGAGCCTCGAAAAACGTGCCCGGCACGGAATCACCTTCTGTAAGGCTCAGAGCCTCGACAAAACATATATTACTTCTCTAAAAATCATAGCTAACTCTTGCGTATATTTCGTATTCTCGTTCACTCGAATTCCATCTCTGTAATCACAGAAGCACGATTATCGTTAATAAGAGAAATATCTCTGTTCGCTCCCAAAAACTCGTACTTATTTATTATTGCAACTTCGGTACGAACAATAGGGTGGATAGATTTACATACAACAATTTTTATTTTTGGGTATTATAGGTAAACCCGAACCCGTACCCGAATTTTAAAATACCCGAAAGGGTTTTTTTTGCAAAAATTGGTTTAATGAAGGGTTTTTTTTGCAATTTGGCTATTTCGAGGGTTTTTTTGCACAAAACCCACTGACGGAGTTAACGGCTGTCACGTCATCGATACACGCGAGGGCTATATTGCGGGTGACTTTTGAGATGGCGGTATTGACTTGCATTTATTTGAGATGGAGGGTTTTCTTGCAAAAATTGGCTACTTCGAGGGTTTTTTTGCACAAAAACCCTTATATTATGTAGTCTCTTTTATAATTGGTTGAATTTTTTAAAAGTAGATCTTCTTAATCGGCGTGTTTTTACCTAAAACGACTTATATTATGAAACGAATGGAATATAACTTTATATACAATACTAAGTTTTATGGACTTCCAAATCATGTTTCAGTACCTGTAATCTGAAGGATTGTTAGGCCAATAACTATTGTTGATGGACGATGGTGGCCAGATATTGTGAATCAGATGATCGTCCCAAGCCTTTAAACTTTTGGGATCTTTGGGAAAGTAACCTTGGATGTCTTGGGAGTCCACCGGCCTTGTGACAGATTCCTTTTCGGCAGCCGGGAGCTCGAAAAACTGCCTCCCCACTTCTTGAAGGCGTCGCATTAAGTCCGCAGGAATGCCGTGGTTAACCACTTGAAAAACCCCCCACTCTTCGCTCGCTTTCACCACGGCATGAGCCACAAGCTCGTCGCTGGGATCGCTTAGATCAACGATAGGGATCTTCTTGGTTTGGCCTCTCTTGTCGTCGTTCATTGTTGTTCACTCTCTTCTCCAATGGCTGAATTTTATTTTGGTTCTGATGGGTTGGAGAAGTTGGATGGGATTTAAATAGGGGAAATGTAATGATCACGTGGTGTAATTTGTATATTCTTAGTGCTTCTTCTTTATAAAATAAAAACTTTAAAAAATTGATTTGGTAAGGATTAGTTAGGATAATTTTGGCTTGTACTACTGTTAAAATATCGAATCCTAGATGAAACTGATAACATAAAAATAATGTGGCAAGTGAGTGCACCAAACATATACAATATGTACACCTAAATTATGAATTGAAAATGTAACAGAGGAAGAAAGAGTGAAGAGTGCAAGGCTTACTAAAACTGGCTCAGAATCATAAGATTGATTACTTAAGGAACAAGACTCCTTTGTTAATCTGTAGAGGAAACGTCACGTTGTTACAAACCTTAAAACCAAAACTAAACCAATTCTTTTTTTTTTCTTTCTCTTTTTTACATTTCTTTGTCTACCATTCTTTACCTTAAACAAGAGAGTGTTGAAAAGATTCAATGAAACCTATGTTTGCTTCTTGCTTGCTACCACTATAATGCATGCATCTGTAGAAATCATATATGTTAGTCAATTAGATCATCTTTATAATTAGGTCTTGTTCTTCATTTTTGACAAAGATCCAACCTTCTTTATTATTATAATTCTACGCTACCTCGGAATAACTTCTTCTCCTCAGGTTAGGTGTTTGGTCCAGTGAAGTTTGAGGTAGCAGCTGTATTGTACTGGAAGATCCTCAGTTTCCCCTCCTAAGCAAAACAAAACCCATAAGTTATGATCTTTCATTTTCATATTCATAGTCGATTATATATATCTACACCAAGCCTCAAACCAGTCTCAACCGAACATTGTTAAACGATAATGATCCGATCCAATATGGTTTACCTTTGTCCCATAAACAAGACCTCCTCCAGGAGAAGGATGAAAACAAGCAACATTCACTTCATCATCTGAACTTGGCAGTACTCTCACAAGCTCCATATCTGAAACTCTGTATATCTGACCGGCCCATACAAACAAATTATGTATTATATCTCCAAGTATATATATATATATACACCCCGTGACAGGGATATAGTAGCATAAGGCTTTACCTCCAACACTGTGAAAAAATGTGATGTTGCTTCACCATCACTAACGATGCTCCTCAAAAGAGAACCATGACGCCGCCCATATGCAAGAAGTATATGCTCCGAGGTGGGTGAGAACTGCACCCAATATTTTCAATTATTCAAGTATTTTCAACAACTTTCAAGTTACAACCATGTTCTATTTTGGTTGGGCTCTAGGTGAAACCAAAATTGATTGCCGATACGCACATAAGTTTTCTCTAGTATATATATCTCACAAGTTACTAAACATCATATATGAATTGAGATGATTTCAGAAGCTAAACAACACAATTAAACTGGATATTTCCAAAATTTTGTGGTACGAAGTAAAGCAATATAAGGTACCAAACAGTTCCCATCAGAAACAAAGAAAACATGATAATTCAGTCTGATTATACTCATAAGGCAACTAACCTGGATTGAGGTCAAGCAATGTGCAGCTCTAATTGCCCGTGACACAAGTACTGAACCAAAACTGTATTCATAGAAAACACATGAGGGATGTGCATTTCAAGATGGTAGAATTAGCACAATGAGATATTGGAAGTGGCAATTACCTTTCCTTCTGGAGAGAATACACACGAAGCTCGTAAATGACTTGGTGTGCTGTGACAGGGTGTCGAGTTGGGGAAGTTGCAAGCCCTGAATCTTGTTGGGCTTGTGTCTGCAGCCCAAGATCTATCTCGGCATGAGGAAAAACACATGCAACACAGGCTGCTAAATATCTCCCGCATGGCGAAAAATGAGCTCCCATTTCACTGAACACATCAAAGAAGCAGAGATATTAATATATATCAAATCGTAAATTTAACATCATACGCATTCAAGTGTAAAGGAGGAGCTTTGCCTGCAAAGGACGGCATGCGGTATTGTAAATAGACATCTGTCGGACTTCAGTTGTGCATATGGGTCTTTAATGTCATGCGACCACACTCTGAGTTTGACAGTACAAGGTAATTCTGCAGCAGCAGCTGCTGCTGCTGCTGAAGCAGCAATTGAGGTAGCAAGTTCAGACTGGACCCTGTTCACTACAGGTCGAGCATTACCTCCATGTTGAGTGTTACGAGAAGGCACACCTTCCGGTAATCCAGATCCCGAGAATTGGGGTTGTGAAGTTTGTTCCTGGGCTCTGCCTCTTCCAGACACCGCATGTAAGTTAACACCACTCGGGATTTCTAATAATGCTACTGCAGCCTCCAGACTGGCTGTTGATAAACGAGATGTTGAAGATGGAGCTGAGATGCCATGATTACTACTGCCAGTAGGAGGAACCACTGGATTAGCAACACCATGACCTTGAGCCATCAACCATCCTTGTAGAAAAGGTAACTCCCAGGAAACTCTATCCCTAAAGTGAAATAATTGCCGAATCTGTCCAAGCTCAGGGAAATCTGATCGATTTGAAACTTGGCTAGGAATTCCGTTTCTTCCAACAGGTTGAGCTTCATCTACATTCATGCCATCAACTGCAGGAGTTCTATCTCCAGCTCGGGTAAAAAATATATTGCTAGGAGAATTTCCTGGAACACTATTTGAACCAGAAGGACCACTGGATGTAGCCAAGGGAAAAGGAAGAGACGATGTTCTGTTCTCATTTTCTGAAGAGCTTTGAAGATTCTGAAACCCTGATTGGGAACTAATTTGACCAGTATTACCAGTAGTATATTGACCAATTCTTGGTTCATCTCCAGAAGGTGTAGGCACGGACATGTGTGGAAGTGGCACAAGGGGAAGTTCTGCTGCCAAACTAGTTCGATTGCTTTCCGTGCTTGTGAACAAAATAGCAGGGGGCGGATACCTCAAGTAGCCCATAGATGTTGCTCTAGACATTGAAGAATCTAATGAATCAATTTCATTCACCTGCCACTTAAGGTTAGAATGTAAGCAGGCAGAATGGAAAACAAAAACTAAATGAATCCCAATAAGGTAGCTCACCTCTGCGGTCAAGAGAAATGGTGCCCCATGAGGGTGAAAGTGTACAGCTCTCAGAGAGCGCCTCGTCTTCAATACAACGGTTGGTGATGATTCCTCTCCTCTCCTATTGTAGTGCCACATGTGCAGCTGCAAAATATCATGAATCAAACTTATGAGATCTTTCTAAAAGGAGGTGCCACCTGCAACTGGCTAGCGTTTCATGGGAGACTTAAAAGGGAAAACTCACCTTATGACCAGAAGCAACAGCAAGTAGTTCACCCTCAGCATGGAAAGCGATAGAAGCAATAGGACGATCTGGCAAGAGAAAAAAAAGAAGAAATTAAAACTGGTAAGATGGTAGACAGAACTACGAAAAGAAACACACTGTTCTGATTCCTAGGACTTACAGAATACATGAGATCTAATACATTCAGAAGTTGTGATATTCCATAAGCGGACCTCAAGATCTAAACTTCCACTAGCAACTATTTCTGAATGAAGCGGGTGGAATCTGACCTGTACAAACTCAAATAACATTAGATATAAATGGCATGTTGCTACACTAAACTAGGTGAATATCTGATTAAGAATAACAGAAACACTTTTAAATTTGTTGCAGTAGTGTTCATTTTACGATGCAACACACCGCCACAAAAGCATAACTTAACACCCCTCAACCAACCAACAGAGTAGATGCCAAAAGAATGAGCAAAATTCATTTCACTATCCGAGATTAAATTATCTATACGTAGTTATGTTCATAAAGGTACTACATATCAAACGCAGAAAAGGGAGGTAGCATTCTCAAACTTACCACCCAAGGAGTCCTTTGATGGCCGTTCAAAACTTTTAAGCAGTTTCCAGTTTCACAATCAATAATCTTTACAGTATGATCACCACTACACGAAACAAAACAAAAAATAAACAGTCTGAATTCAAAGGCAAAAAGCAATGAATAAAATAGATGACCTCCTTGATACTCACTGTGTAGAAGCAAGAGTTCTTCCATCAGTACTAAAAGCCGCTGCAATAGTCGACCTTGGAGGAGCTCCAAGAGGACAATATTTTGCAGATAAATGCTGCAATGACTCTGCCTCAACCCTTCATTAAGAAACACCAATTACAATGACAATCTCAAACATTAAGGTCCTTTGAACCTAAAGAGAGACAAGAAACACGAAGTATACCATGAAGTAAGACTTTGTTCCGCCTCTCTCAACGGCTCGCTGTTGGTTCCGCACGAAGAATCAGTATACCATCTACTCTTCCCCCACCGTTTCCTTGGCACAAACTTTGAATTTGGTGACATTTCCCTCTGAACCAACATACTAAATACACTCCTCCCCCTAAACAACAAATTCCAATTCCAGATTTAGATAACTCAAGATCCAGTTTCCAAAAATGCCTTAAGCTAACCAAAATTCTCAGTGATCTCCCAGAACAAACTTTTATAATGTCCTAAACAGAAACAAGACCAATCTAGTTCCCATAATTGAGAAGCAAGTATCAACAAAAACCTGCGGCGGTGAAAGTTCGTCGCCGATTTGCGTGGCGGAATCAAAGAACGAGGAGAAGAAGATTGATCTTGAGACGACGAACAGATTGATTGAGTCATCTTCAAATCCAAAATTCAAACCCTAATTCACCGGCGATCTCGATGAGATCTCCGATCTAAATCGTAACGCGCTTCGTCCCTAGAGATATGGTATTGGTTAAATTTCTTCGTCAGGGACTTTGTTGATGAGCGCGTCGACGACGAAACCTAAACAGTTGTGTTTTTGTTTAGGACCGTCTTAAGAGACCTGTGAGATGTTGTTTTTTTTTTTTTTGTCATCCGAAATTAATTAGAGCTCAAAAGAGCCATTCCTGAGGAATGTTGTTTACATATCTTATTATATAAAGTATGGTTTTCAAAGTTAATAACTCATATGATCGTGACATGTGGCAAATCTATCGATCATAGATTTTGACACGTGTAAAACAAAAATTTCCTTTTTAAAATAAAAAAAGAAGATAATTGAAAGTAATTACAAATTTAAATAATTTTAAAAATGTAAAAGATAATTATAAGAATAATTGTAAATAATTCATATTTCTATAAAAAAATTTTAAAAATGTCAAAAGATAATAATAAGGAAATTATACGTTTTTTATATTTCAATTAAACAAGAAAAAAATCAGGCAAATTTATTAAAAAGGAAACATATGTTATTATATATTAATTTAAAATTTGATATTATTTATCTCAATTTATTTTCCAATTAGAAATATGTGATGATTTAATTAAACTAATCCTCATATTATTTATTATTTAAGTTTATTTTTTCAATTAGAAATATGTGAGATCAATTTTTTTTCCTTTTTGTAATATTTTTTTACTTAAATGTTTTTTTTGTTTGTCCTCAATTATGATTGTAGTATAGTTAGATTGTTTATTTCAATTTCTCTTTTCATATCTAAATTATCAAAGATTCATATATCATCGTGTTTATTATTTATTTTGGTTTCTACGTTCAGTTTAAATTATATAAGATTTATAATATATCATAGTTCTAATGATTTAAGAAAGCGACATGTGTCATGATTTAAATTACAAATTTACATTATTTATATCAATATTATTTTCTAATTAGAAATATGTGATGATTTAAAGTAAAATTTTTATATTGTTTTATGTTGTTTTATTTGAAATTCTTGAATATGTAAGAAATATATATGCTTCTTTTTTGTTTTTGATATTTTGAATTTAATTATACTATTTCAAAATTGTTTATTTCAATTTCTATGTTCATATTTGAATTATATAAGATTCATATATCATCGTGCTTATAATTTTTTGAATTTATCAATTTTTATTGATTGATCATAAAGTTATTGCAATCGAGTATATAGGAATCGAACCCGCAACGTTAGCTTGGAAGGCTAAAGAATTTAGTCGATTTATCATCTTTATATTTTTAACGTGTCTAATTAAACACCACTTTGGTTTTATTCACCAACTTTATGATGAATATTTTTAATTTTTGTTCTTCATATAAGTATACCATGAATTATTGTTATGTGATATATCTTTCATTCGAAATAATTTTGAATTAATAATTTTAGTGGTTAAAGAAACAATGCAACATTGAAAAAGTAAATATTGTTTTTACTTTTGAAAGAAAATTTCTACTTACAACGTTGTTAATTAATTTTTTGTTAAATTTGATTTTAATTTTAAAAAAAATAAACCCGTACATCGGACGGGTCCTTATCTAGTGTGATATGAAGCAGTTCTGTACGAACTTTTTGTGCCAGATTATCCGCCTTAACATTAGCCCTACGAGAAATTAAAGATAAATAAAAAGATGAAAATTCCTCCTTGTCGCTCTGAAATTCCTCCAAGTACACTGAAAATGCCGGCCATTCGGTTGGAGAAGACACCATCTTCACCAGGTCTGAACAGTCTGTAAGATGTTGTTGTTGTTAAGAGGATCTCATTTTGTTTTTTTATAATACCCCTATTAATTTCGTCAATCAATTATTGTCGGGATCATATACTCTCTCTCTTATCTCTCTAAAATCTTTTAGAGAGAGAGAATTTTTGCTTTGCCGTCTGGTTTTTACCGGCCACTGCCCGACATCTTCCGACTTCTACAGTGGATGATTGGTCGGTCTTTGTCTAGCGTCGTTAGCTCCTCTAGTAACGTCGGCTGGCTTCTCTCCGGCATCGGTGGCTCCGTTAGCATCGTTGGCCGGCAAATTTCCGGTATCGTTCAGCTTCTTCAGTGACGATAGCCGGCTCTGTTTCTAACAATTCGTTGGCCGTTTCTCCGGCGAGTTGGCTAGCTTGGGTCCCGGATTTTGTCCGGTTTTAGTTTTTTCTTCTTTGTTCTATCGTTTCTCTTTAGCCTCGGTTTACTTTGGTTGATTTCTTTTATTAGTTCCTTAGATCTAAAGGTGTAATTCCTTGATCCTCCCTTGTTTAAGGGGCTGAATTTGTTCTTCTCGCTTACAGTTCTCTACTTTATTACGATCAAATTTCAGTTGCGATTGTGGTGCCTTTTGGTGTCTTTGGTTTGCTTTTAAAGAAATTGGGGCTGACTTCTTTCTTCCGAAGCTTTGGATTCGTCTGAATTTTTGTTTACAGGGTTAGCAGCTGAAGCCTTATAGGCTAGTTTCGCTTTCGTCGAGAGTTCCTCGAGTCCTGAATCGCTTATATTGAGAAGTTTGTGAAGCTAAACTTGTTCACGGCGCAAATTAGTCTTGGGTCTCTGTTTTGGATGTTGTTATCCTCGAATCTGAGTGTTGCATGAAGAATTGGCGTTTTTCCCGGCTGTTTTCCGGTGGAAAAGCTACAGATTAAGACGACGGCGACTGGTGGTTTCCACCTCCTCAGTGACCTACGTGTCTTCATCCTCGCTTCTAATTCTGCCACGTGGATATTGCGTTATCCCAAAAGCTTCTTTCTTCATTAGAAGGTTTCTCTCTTGGACTTATTTGGGCTTCCCTGTTTGGTTTTTAGTTGGGCCTTTTCTAGGTTCATGGGCCTTTTATTCAATAAAGCCCTTGCGATTTAGTTCTCTTCGATCTGTGGCTTGCATTAGCTTGTGGTATGGAGTTGAGATCTCAGTGGTTGAGGCTCTAGCAGAAATTCCGGGTAGATTGGATTGCACTCATGGCTCCACCGGGTCGCGCGTTAAGTGTAAAGGTTCCTGGGATGGGGGTTAAGTGAGAGATTCAATTTTCTCCTCTTAGTATTTTATTTTCTTTTGGAATTTTCTGCCGGATTTCCTCCTATTAGTTTGATCCGATCAACGAATACCGTTTCCAATGAAAGCAGTCAAGGATGTGGTTCTAAATCTGAAGCAAACTTGAAGATTATGAAGAATTTTACTTTCGAGTAGAACTTATAAGGGAGATTATCAATTCTCTTTCGATAATCCAATATGGTAATGCTGTGTAAGTAGTGGAGTTTTCCACTGTTGTAATACTTTGCAACGTTTGTTATAATAAAGTGAAATACTTATGAGAAAAAAAAAAATTTCGTCAATTTCGAAACTACCTCTATTGTTTTTGTAAGAACAATTCTATAGCCCATAAATACTTCAAGATCCAAGAGAGTATATCAGTTCTTTTTTTATTTTTTTTAATTTTGATTTAACTATTCATGTGATTGTTTTGTTTAGATTTTATCATCTTTTGAATATTTTCTGGAGTTTTTTTACTTATAGTTTACATATAAGAATCTGTTAAAATTCATTTCAAATATTTTTTTAATATAGAAAGATGTAAAATTCCATGTTTCAAATTATGTATTAGCTTAGTATAACATTGGTATATATATAGTTATTTACTAGTAGATAACGGTGGAGCCACATTGTAACAAAGGACCAACGAAACAACAAGTTAGCTAAGTTTTGCTGTGATCAACAAACAATTGCCAACCACCTAACCTCTCAACACATATAGCTTGTTTCCGTTTTTCGCATAAACCGGTTTGGTTTCAATTCATGTCTCATCTCAAATCCGATCTTCCAAAACTAGTGTACCAAAACTCAAAAAGCAAGAAATTGTTCTGCAAAGCCAATAAGGAACACCAAAAAAGAAAAAAAGAAAAAAAGAAAGAAATGAACTATACACAAATGTGGAACTACTAGAACTAGGTCCTGGTTTAAAGCTACTACGGTTTCTGGTTATCTAATCAGTTCTCTGGTTTGTTCGGTTTGCCCGGTCCCCAAATACGGATGGTTTGGTCATCACTAGCAGAGGCCAACATCCGAGGATTTTTCGGGTTCCAGCTCACACAGTTTACAGTCATGGAATGACCTGATAACACTTCAAGCGGCTTTGCGTTCTTTAGATTCCATATGTAAACCTGTGGACAACAGATCAATCTCAGTGAAAAATCAACCAGAAAGAAACTGAGTCGGTCTGCAGATATGTATGTTGTGTGCTTACTTGTGAATCCTCGCTTCCACTGGCAATGAACGAACTGTCCAACCCACCAAAACATGACCGTATCACGTATTTGCTCTGCCTGTGACCCGAGAACTTCAATGGTTGTTTCCACTCTCCAGCAAGATCCCAAAGATGTATCTCTTGGCAGCTCAAGTTGACTATAAAAAATTTACCATCTCCAGAAATCGAAAGGGAAGTAATTGGTTGTTCCTCAGAGATAACACGTTCGACTTTTGTCTCTAAATTCAAGATCCGGATCTCTTTATCCGAAAACACTGTAATCATACTCTCGCCATCCGGCGTCACAGCCAAATCCACCACCTATTAGGAAATTGTGCATTTCGAATTTCAAGTATTTGAATACCAAAACAAGGATAAGCAAATCTTTTCACCAATACCAACCTTTGGAATTCTCGTTCCTCTCCAGGCTTTGATCTCGTTTCCATCAGTATCCCACATTACAATCCCTCTTTCTGGGTCAGAACTGCCACAGACAAGCCGAGTTGAGTCAGGGAACCATGCGCAAGAGCTGACAGTGAATCCAGTATTGTTGTTTCCAAATGTGTGTCTCAACACACCTGTGTCAACATCCCATAGCTTAAGAACCTCAGCGTTTCCGCATGTAAGCAGTTTAGTATCGTCAGGGCTCCACGAGACAAAAGAAACTGGATTTTGGTGGCTCTCAAGCGTGTGCTTCAGTTCGACTTTGTTATCATCCAGTACCTGAAACAAGAAGTTTTAGTTCAAAATTATATCGATCTGTCACAAGACCAGAAATAACTTTTTTAGTCCTTTAAGACACAGTCTCAAAATTATCATAGAAAACTAAAGAAATACATACAACCCTGAAGTACTAAGAGCTAGTTACATGGCTCAAAACGACAAAGCACTATAAATTACAATATAAAAGTTACTGTCCCTTTTTGTTGTCACAAATGGCTTTCAAGCCAAGACATCCAAATGTTATTTCCTTAATTTATTTATTTTCCACCTCACTGCGTGAAGAGATATACAAGAAGAAACCTCATAAGGTTCTCTTACCCATCAGAGCTAATTCATCTGGTCTCTTTCTCAATGACATTAGGCAAAAATAAGAGAAACCAATGGTCTAAGATATTTACCTTCCATATTATAGCTGTACAGTCACTTGATGCAGTGGCCAGATATTTGCCACTATTAGAGAATTGCACAAACCACACTTCATTTTTATGTGCCATCAAAATCTGTAAGATCATAAGAGATTGACAAACTATAAGAACCACAAACAACAATCCAGAAGACATGACTTTCTGGTGTATTTTTCCACCAAATTGCAACCATATCCGTCTATCATCGTAAAGAAATTTAACAAGTTTACGAAAATGATAAAATATGGTTTACTAAGGCAGAAAACAACACCTGGACAGTCTCTGAAGGAATTTGATCTCTACCGCAACAGTGATCCTTGTAAAGTGATACTGCACCCCATGAGTTATGATACAGACATGTATCAATCTGGTCCATCACAGCAGTCTCAACCAAATGTTCCAACCTTCTCTCAGGAATAACAATTGGCAAGGGAATCAACTTCTCGAGTTCAACCAACAACTTTTTCCTCAAACCCTGAACCAAACAGCTGTCTACTTCACCGGATTCCATCTCTTTTGAATAAACAATATCACAAGCAAGCCTGTGAATCTTCTCTTTCCCCATCCTTAACATCGGAGCTTGCTTCCGTAACACATTCAAGGCCAAAGAAACATCCCCACGTTTCAAATACTCCAACAAACATTGCTTAAACACTAAATATAAAGCCGTGTTCCTCGTATCATCCTTGGAATTATCAAAAATCCTGTCCAGAACCGCTACGCAACTATCCCAATCACCACTCAAAACTTGCTTTTCAAGAAACTCATAATCAGCTGATTTATACGAGATGTTCGACTCGATTTCCAAACAAGAAGCAGAGTTCTTGAATCCTAACGAGTATAAGCATTGAACCAAAATCCTAATGAATTCATGTTTCTTCAACAAACCTTTTGAACCTAAAACCTCCCATAACCCATTCTCCATCTGGAATCACTCTTACGTAAGGATGATGATAACTTTCTAAGATTCTCAGAAATCTTTCCACATTCAATAGTTGAAAGGTCCACAAAAAAACGTATAAATTTCCCGCTACCAATAATAATATAAAGAACCCAAAATTCTCAAAATATCACCAAATCAGAAATTAACCCACTAAATAAATAAATTATCCAAATTCTGAAATCAAATCACTAAGAAAAAAACAGTATTCAATCCCAAAGCTATCAAAGGATCTAAGATTTGGTTTCGATGTGAATTCAAATTTCTGAATCAATCATTCAACAGAAATCGCTCAGCAGTGACTACCCAGTAACTTAAAAACACCTAGAGCTTTCTCGAAATAGCCCAGTCGCAAGAAAACACAGATGCGAGAAGAGAAAATGGCAGAGAGATTCAAATTTCGTCAGGAGAGATACCAAAACCAGCTCAATTGAGATAATGAAGAAGAGGAAGAAGAAGAAGGAAGGAGTGAATTCAAAATCGTCTCACCGGATTTTCAATTAATTTCGGCGACGCTCTGTGATGTTGTTTTTGGAGAAGAGAGGTCGAAAACAAAGTGTTTATTATATCGTTAAGTCCTATCGCTAATCCCCTATCGTTAAGGCTGTACGGTTAGTCATATTTTCATTTTTTTTTTGTCTGAAATAACAATCATTAAATGGTTGGTCATATATTTGATATCTTTGATTTTCTCTATTAATAGAATTGCAAAAATATAGTTCCCAAAGCTTTTAAAAACTCCTCCATTTTTTTCTGTTTTAATAAAATTTCAGTTTCTATCTATATATACATTTTTGAAGTACATTTAGCAAATAAATCCTGAAGTTGAGATGTATTTACAATAGAATGTCATTGTTATAAATGTTTATATATTAATTAATATTACAAAATCTTTTCAAAAAAATCTTTTAGAAATTGTGGCTTCCAAATATGGTAACAAATTGATTTTATTTCTAAATTTTCCTAAAACATCTCTACCAAATTTAAACATTAATATATAATTCTTCTTTCACTTTTATATGATCTTATAGTAATTTATTTTGAATTTATATAAAATACAAATAATTAATAAAATAATAGATTTTGTGCATATAATGTGATTCAAATTTTTAAAAACGGACATATATTACTCAATCGATGAAGAAAAAGTATGTGTACAATGTCCCATATTGCTTAAAAAGTTTGGACAGTGGTTCAGAGTCATATTATAAAAAGGATCAAAATGATTCAGAATACAAAACGAAGTTATATAGTGGGACAGGTTTGAGTCGATATTAATACGTGAACGTATACCACGGGTGAAACGTAGAATTAAAAATAAAAATATAATTATATAATCTTAAATATTAAACAAACCAAACAATATTAACAAAGAAAAATATAACTTAAAATTTAAAATTTTTAGTTTAAAAAAATTGACCCGCAATATACCGCGGGGTAAATTGTTTTGATATAAAATAATATCAAATTATTATAATAGTCCATGATTATAAATACTTGCCAATATTAACACTATATCATTTGTACATCTACAAATCTTCGTAATTAAATGAAGATTAATTACACATATTTCAACTATATTAATTATAATATAAAATAATTAAATGAAATTTATTTATATAATATCAATTTAAAAATAAAATAAATTATAAAATATTATATAAAATACAAAAAAATATAATTTTGCCTCGCGGTATACCGCGGGTTAAATCCTAGTAATTATGCAAAATTTATACAGTATTATGGTTCTTGAAAATCTAGATATTCAAAAAAAAAAAAAAGAGTTGGAACATTAGGAAATTCCAACAGAAATATTCAAGATGGATGTATTTTATTCCTCTACAATCTACAAAATATTTATGTTGAAATGACTTTCCAAACCGATTTAGTACAAAGGAGTTCTAAGAGTGTAGTTTACCACACGTTTTAAGTAAACATTTGATTTATGCTTCAAAATTCTTCTACTTCCTTTCAAACAAGTAAACAATTTTTTTGATTGAATACACTTTTACAGTTAATTCAAAAATAAATGGCCTTTGATTTCTATAAATACTAGTATTAAGGCCCATGCCATGCATGGGCTAAAATTATAATTAAAATTTATTCTTAACAATTCATTTACATTTATATATGCAATATAATGATGAATAAATTAAATATATTAATGTTAGAAATTAAAAAAAAAAAACTAATTCTAATATTGTGTAATATTATATTGGCATCAAGATTTAATGAAAATAAAATGAGACTAAACAAAAATGAAATTATCAATTTCAAGTAGTAGCAAAATTTTCATTGTTTGATTTATAGATTTTTAAAAAAAATCATTCTTTGTTTAAAATCACAATCATTGTTTAAGCGAAATCAAATCTATTAATTGTTCAAAAGAAAAATTTTAACCTGGAGGAAGAAATGAAAAAGGTCTTTGTTTCTTTTGATTAATAATGAATTTAATTAGTTGTGAAAAAATGAGAAATTAGTGGGGAAAAAAGTGTTTTCTCAAATAAATAAGTAAATGGAACGTGGGAGGAAGAATTGAAATTCTTTTTTATATATTTTTGATTAGTTGTGAGTTTAATTAGATAAGAGGAATAAAAAGAGAAAATCGTGGGAATCTTTTTTTATCAATTAAATAAATAAATTGGCGTAGAAAAGTAAAAGAAGTCAATTTGAGACTTATGACACGTGGCAGATAGAGAAAGCTACAGTTATTAAAAAAGTGACTGTTGATTTAGTAGATATAGATTACAAATATCTCGAATATATTAACTCTGACTAAAGCTCTTGTTATCTGAAATAAAGTTGTTATCTAAGGAGAGAATATTACCAGATTCCTATCAAAACAAGGCTAACAATTGTTGGTCCATTCGAAGAAGCAAAAGGAAAACAGAAATAAGACAGAGAGTTAACACACCTCAAGCATTTGTACCCATCTCTCAAAGGAAATCCTCAATGTGTTTGGAAGGAACTACACAGTTAATTACCAACTATCAGAACCGGTTTAGTGTCAACAATAAAAAATGGTTTTGGTGCCACTAAGGTTTACCTTCGCGATAGCATCAAGTTGGTTCGCGATAGCATCAAGTTGGTTCACACAGCTCTGGTTCATTTGCGTGAAAATGTCAACGAACAACCCGTCTACAAGATCCATAACCTTGCACCAAACAAACGACAAGGAATATCATCAGCAACATAGACAAAAGATGAGGAGTGAGATATAGTTGTTATCTGAGGAGAGAAAAAAAAAACTTATGAAAATGAATAAGTTTCATATTCATGTTAACAATATTTATATTCAAAATCATATATTATGCCATATATTTTCTTATCCGGAAGAAGCGGCTTCCCCAAACCACAATCAAAAGAACTCATCTTCCGGTCATTGGCTAGTGGTATGCCCCCAAAATCTTTTACATATTTCAAATCAATGACTTTTGATGGTAATTTTGTATATCTACGTTCTGGCACACAAACATATAGTATTTATTCATCTGTTTACGAAGAACAGTCGTTGCACGGAGAAGATCTATAATAGTAAATGTTTGAAACATATAATTGAATTTTGTGGTCTCTACTTGTTGTACAATATTTGATGATTTGATGATGTTTGGTCTTTTATGGTTACTCTTTTATTATCCAATTTATATTCCACTAGGGAAATTCCACGAAATACCCCAAAAAGTTGAAGAATACTATTTTTATGTCCAAGAAAATGCACTGTAAAAGACTAAAAAAGAAAAAAAAATCAAATCCTGGAAATTTCGTTTCAATCACCTCCCAATTTAATTCCGGTTCGATTTGGTTTTCGGTTAAACCAAACCAAAATTCAGGCTTGCTAATAAATACCGAATCCCTCTCCCTCTCTCTCTGCCACTTCGAATTTAACACATTCCCGGAGCTCCGATCATGTCATCTTGCTCCGACGAAGCAATTCCGGGCCAACCAATCGTCGTGCGTATCTCTTTCTCTCTCTTTTCTTCTCATGAATTGATTAAAACTGATTACATTCTCTGCAATTATGTAGCTTGGTTGTGGTCAACTTTGTCTGGATTACTTAGTCACAGTACCGTCTTTTCCAATTCCCGATCAAAAGATTCGAAGCACGAGCTTCAAGGTCGATCAACGAGATCATTTGTTGTTGATTCTTCGTTGACTTTATTTGATTCGTAATAGTTCTGGAGATTTTCATTTCTATGGTTCATTTTTTCAGGTCCAAGGAGGTGGAAACACTGGGAATTCTTTAACATGTGTTGCTCGTTTGGGTTTGCCTTCTCGAATCTTAGCTAAGGTTATAAACAATTTTTGCGTTTAATCTTTGAAACTGTTTCGTTGTTTTGATTTCGAGATTAGTCTTTGGACCTAGAAAGCCTTTAGGATCACCTGAGTTATAAAAAAAAATTAAAAATGGTGAAAATTAGAGGCATAAACTGCAAAAATGTAGCCCTTGAATCACCAAAAACAACTGAATTAGATATCTGTTTTAGGTTGCTGATGATTCTCACGGGCGTTTTATGGTAGAGGAACTCAAATCTAGCGGTGTGGATACTTCGTTTTGTATGGTAAGATCATAAACAAAGTGTTTTGGTAAAATGTATATCAATTCAGTGTAGATATAAAACACAAACATTTTGTTCTTTCCATCGTCTCAGAATGCTAAAGACGGAGCTTCACATTTTAATTACGCCATTGTAGATAACCAAACGTGAGTTATGTTTTGTTTCTGTGATCTTATTTTGAACTTTCCATTTTGCTAAATCTAGAAAAATGCATGATATAACACATTTCTAGCAAATTTTAAAGTTACCTATTGTTTTGATACTATTCTTGTAACAAATTTGTAGGAATACTCGAACGTGTATTTACACTCCAGGATATCCTCCTTTGCTCCCAGATGACCTTACGGAATCTCTCCTTTTAGATGTTCTTGATGGAGTAAGAGTTCTATATGTAAATGGAAGGTCCCGTGAAGCCGAATTGCTTCTTGCACAAAAGGTGAAAATGCTCTCTTTGGTGTGTTTTGGACTCACACTTGCGCGATTTACTT